CAGGGCTTTGACCCCTTCTTTCCCCTCCACTTGCTAAGCCCCACTTAGATTTCTTAATTTTGGGTTAGAAAAGTGGGGGGTGTCTTATACATGGGGGCGTCCTATACGCGGAAAATATGATATATGGAGGGGAAGTTGAGCAAGCGCTGAAGATGGCTTACACACTGCCTCCCCGGTGGTGGCCTCTTCCAGCTGGAGCTGTACCACACCGTGATGTACCGCAACTACCAGAGGAAGAATGACATGGACGAGCCACCGGCGTTTGACTATGGCTCGGGCGACGAGGACGGCAAGCTGGAGAAGAGAAAAAACAAGGACCCCCAATACACCAAGATGGAGGAGAAGTACTATCGCTATGGCATCAAGCCTGAGTGGATGATGATTCACCGCATCCTCAACCACAGGTGAGAGTGGGTGCACGGCATGGTTCTAAGAGAGGTAGTTTCAGGAAATGGTCCAAGGGTTAAGGATCAGAAGTTTAGAGATCCGAGTTCAAATCCAGACTGGGCGAGTCTGTCTCTTTTAGCCCAATCTCTACCTTACAAGGTTGTTGTTACGGTAAAGTCTTATTAGGAGAGCCCACTTGTTGGGTTCAGGCAATGAGCAGGCTGATGGGCTTTGTGGTGATCACCAGATAATGGATAGCAAAGAGTCTCTTAGCAATAGATTAAGAAGTCAGCCACACACACACAGATGGATGTTTGCCAGCAGTACTCCTGGTAGGTATCTCTTCCTCTCCCGGTCTCTCTCGGTTTCTCTCAGTCTGTCTCGGCCTCCCCTGCCCCCAGGAGACTGTCCTTTTTTTTAACATTACAAGGTCACAGGTAGTGACAGCATTACAGATAGTAAATAGGGTTCAGATAGGACAATGGTTACATCATGTTATTAGGGTTGGTCTGGAGAAAGGCAATTAATCAAGCCCTCTGATTGGCCTAAGGAAAGGCCTCTACGGCAAGCTTTCTATGATAACGAGAAAGAGGAGGAATGGTGGCAGTTCCTTCGCTCAGAAGCAGTCACAGGATGCTAGGAGAGTTTTCCCTCACTAGAACACCCATGTGGCTTAGCAACTTTGGGAATGGTACCCCCACACCCGCTGTCCTGCCTAGAGGTTACAAGGGGACCTTTTTTCAGTTGAAAAAGGGGGTGCTTCAATGTGGGGTTTTTTAGCTGAAAAAAAGGGGGAAGAAATATGTTTGAGATGTGGATATGGGAGCCCCTCCAAGGTCCTCTTGCAGAGTTTTGAATTTGGCTTAAATTCCTCTAGCTGCAGACCAGACATGCAAGGATTCACAGAGCAGAACAGCTTCAAGTCTTCCGGATCAGTTCGCCCCTTTCCTCATCAACTGGCACTTACAGTCTCAATAACTGACACTGATAGTAGATAGAATGCATGTTCTTTACTTACAGTTGCAGGAAGGAAGGGATGAATGAACAGCAAACTAACAACAAAGACGGCTGACTGCTTTCAGCAACAGGCCTCAGAAGACTATACAGCTTCCAACAGACTTCAGAGAGGGGAAAAATTTCTTAGTAAAGAGGTGGAGTTCTCTTTGAATTCAGAGACAGGAAAGGAGTGATTGGTGAGTGCTGGATAGACTCATAGTCATTCCAGCCCAAAAGGCCCCTCCTAGCCAAAAGCACTAGAGGCAGCATGCAAGGTTGAAATAACTCCAACAGGCCCTATGGTGGCCATTTGGACCTCTGGAGGTTGCCCACCTCTGCCCCTTACAGCAGAAGGAGATGGACAGGAAGAACGCTGGCAAACATCCAGTGTTGTTAGGCTGCAATGGTCTCTGTGTGTATGTTGACTCCATTGTGGTCCAGCTTTGACCAGCTATATTTCTGCCTCCCAGCTTTGATAAGAAGGGAGACGTCCACTACCTGATCAAGTGGAAGGACCTGGCATATGACCAAAGCACCTGGGAGGTGGATGAGATTGATGTTCCTTACTATGCGAACTTCAAGCAGCTCTACTGGAATCACAGGTTGGGGCTTCCGTGTATATCTGGTGGGGGTCAAAAGGCACTGACCCTGGATCAGTCCTCTTAGAGTATAGCTTCTCCCCATAGTTCACATGTATGATCTTCTCTCTCTCTCTCTCTCTCTCTCTCTCTCTCTCTCTCCCCCTCCCCTCTTCACCACCACCACCCATGCAGGGAGATGATCTTAGGGGAAGAGAACAGCCAGTTTGCCAAATGGCTGAGCAAGAAAGGGAGGAAAGCAAACGATGAGAAGCTGGAGCGACCTCCCGAAACACCTCTCGTGGATGTATGTTGGAGGTCAAGACAGAAAAAGATGTGTTAATTGGAATCAATTTTTTTTCTGGGTTTGAGATCCATGGAAAGGATTATACAGACACAATGCCCTACGCAATGTTTTAGTAGTGAATTTGGAAGTAGAGAGGGGCCTGTTTAAATGTAGGATCACCATCTGCAGGTTCATTTATCTGCAGCCTGAAAACATTAAAATATTAAAAGAAAAGAAAAACTAGAAATATGTATTTTCACAATGTATTTACCAGAACTGGCCACTAGAGTGAGCCAAGAATGCATAGCAAGGTCTCTGGCTCCCACTACTGGCCAATTCTGGTAATGCATGGTAAAAAATACTTCTTTCCGGATTTTATCTCTTTTACCATGCTATGTGTAGCATTCACACTGTGTACAGTAGTCTTCTTGTTGAAGAATGCATAGCAAGGTCTCTTGCTCCCTCTACTGGCCAATTCTGATAATGCATGGTAAAAATACTTTCTGGATTTTATTTCTTTTACCATGCTATGTGTAACATCCACTGTTAACTGCTATGTGTAGCATTCACTATTCTTATTCAGCATCCATGGGGGGCTTGGAAACAATCCTCCAGCCATCTGCTATGTGTAGCATTCACTATTATTCTTCAGTATCCATGGGGGGCTTGGAAACAATCCTCCACAGATACAGGGATCCCACTGTATCACATCATAGCTCCCATAATGAGACTTCCCTGGTGTGTACCTCACCGCTTTAGGTATAGTTTGTAACAAAGCGCACAAAAAGGAACCAGCGGCCAACTAGCTAATTACTTTTGAATAATAAAAAGAAGTTATAAAGGAATGGGACAAGAAAGTAGTGGTCAGCCAAAAAGTAATTAAAAGTTATTTTAGTTCATTTGAAAAGTGAGAAAGTAATTGAGATACCTTTTTTAGTAAAAAGAACTCAGTATTTAGATATATCTGTAATGAATTACTTTTTGTATGTTTTTCTGTCTACTGAACTGTTACCTCACACAACGGGGGAAGTGATCTCAAGCCTGTGGAAGCACATGTCAAATAAAACTCTCTTAATCTTAAAGGCACCACAAAACTTTTTATTGGCTTTGCTGGAATGGTTTTACCATCCTGGCAGTTACTTTTCTATGCTCTGTTCTGAAGAGTTCAGCCAGTGTTGTTCATGCACCCTTAAATATGCACATTGTTTCAATATATCTCTGAACTCATAAGGGCTAGAAACTTGCATTTTTTAAAGGCAGGTAACTTAAGTTTTAGTTTTTTCAGGATGCTTGCTGACTGAGCTCATTTTGAGCCACTTGTAGATTACGAACGCGGAGACTTGATTTACCTGTTATGATTTATTTAGCTTTGCCTTTCTTGTTCCGCTTTACTAACGGCTCTTCTTTGCTCTCTGCTTTCTCAGCCTACGGTAAAATATGACAAGCAGCCGTGGTATATTGATGCAACCGGTGGAACATTGCATCCTTACCAGTTGGAGGGGCTGAACTGGCTGCGCTTTTCCTGGGCCCAAGGGACGGACACGATCCTGGCTGATGAGATGGGCCTAGGCAAGACGGTCCAGACCATTGTTTATCTTTACTCCCTTTACAAAGAGGTAAGTCTTGACCTGTTGCCGTTATTTGAGCCAACCTCCTGTTTCCTGACAGCCTTGGTCAACGACTGATCTTGATGAAGCTTCTCTGTCCGTCCGTCCCCCAGGGCCACTCAAAAGGGCCTTATCTGGTCAGCGCTCCCCTTTCCACCATCATCAACTGGGAGCGAGAATTCGAGATGTGGGCGCCGGACTTCTACGTCGTCACGTACACAGGGGACAAGGAGAGCCGGTCCATCATCCGCGAGAACGAGTTCTCCTTCGAGGACAACGCCATCCGGAGTGGGAAGAAGGTGTTTCGGATGAAGGTAACAGAGCCAGAGCAGAGACTCATGGAGGGGTGCAGCAGGCACACTCCTCTTGAGCTGGAGGTCATTTTTTGGGCTCGTGTGAATTTCAGAGGAAATGCAATCAAGAATTGAGGAGGAAACTGTTCCTCCCTCTCCACCAGGTGCAGTGCACACCAAACAGGCACCATTTCAACATACCTTATGCTGGGAGTCCACGAGACTCAGTGTACCTCAGGCTTAAAGCGGGTAGCCTTCCTCCCACATCTTTTGGAGGTCCGGTCTACCTATGGGTCAGAGAAGGAAGAGTTTGAAATGTTCTTACCCTTGGCAGGAACAGCTCCACCTTGAGCTACCTAGCAGCCCATAGTTCCTGGAGCGATTTCTTCTTGATCCCAGTTCCTGCCGCATCCCTGCTCACAACGCCTTGGGAATATGTTTGGGGTCCTGAGATCCAGAGGTTGAGATGCTGTTTGGGAGATCCCAGGTGATTCCCAAACTACAACGAAACAGATTGTTTAGCTGCCAGCTCTCTGATCCATTTCATACGGGGCAATTGGGCCCTGGAGGTCCCAGGTGATTCCCAAACTACGACAAAACAGATTGTTTAGCCACCAGCTCTCTGATCCATTTCATACGGGGCACCAGTGGCTGACAGTGGGATATTCTGAACCATGCGCTGTGGGATTACGATCCTGCCCAGTTCCCACATCACCTGGACTTCACCCTGACTCTCTGTTTCCTCTAGAAAGAAGCACAGATCAAGTTCCATGTCCTCCTCACCTCCTACGAGCTCATCACCATCGACCAGGCCATCCTCGGGTCCATTGAGTGGGCATGCCTGGTGGTGGATGAAGCCCATCGGCTGAAAAACAACCAGTCTAAAGTAGGTGCCTCGGTTCGGTGGGGGGGGAAGGGGAAGGAATTTTGAGTTGGAAGGGAAGAGGCCCCACAACCTTTCAGTCTCCTTGCATGGACCATTGACCGAGAATCACCTCTTGCATGGAACAGGGACTCATTCAGAGAAGTGACTGATGCACTCACTGCAGCGTCAGCATTATCTCTCCCCATCCCCCACCCCGGATGCTCACTGGCGTCTGTGAAGGATAACTTCAGAGGATGGGAGATGAAAATAGGAGGAAAGAAAGCCTTTCTGTGGCCCACAAAGGGAAACAAGAATCAAGGGCTTCTTTTCTCAGAGCAGAGCTGGGAAGGACTAGATAGAAGTTACACAGCCGATGGCAGTAGTTACGACAAGAGTGTAACTGAGTTACACTTCAAAGGTAACCACAGATAGTTAAAGGTCCGTGACTTAAAGCAACAGCCACCAAAACTGGCTTGGACATGTTTATCAGTTGTCTGAGAGTACCACCTGTCTGGAGGTATGATTCATGGTATTTACTTTAAAAATAGATCTACACTGCTTTTCCCATTTCTGATTTTTTTAAAAAATCCCCAAAGTAGTTTACAGTAACCCCAGTGGAAGTGCAGTGAAACGGATGAATCCTATAATGATCAGACATTTCATTCCAAAAATATCCCTACTGTGTTCTGCAGCTTCTGTTCTTGTAATTCCCTCTTTTCTAATATATAGTAGGAGTCCTGTATCTCCACGTGATCAGTTTCACGTGGATGCCAAAAGCTATTATAGCATTATAGCAAAGTCTATTATAATAGTGAATGCTGTACACAGCATGCTCTCTGGCTCCCTCTCATGGCTGGTCCCTCTCATGGCTCAGCCCATCCTTCAAATGATGTACCATATTTTTCCATGTATAAGACGCCCCTACGTATAAGACGTTTTCCCCCAATTTTCTAGCCCAAAATTAAGAAATCTAAGTGAGGCTTAGCAAGTGGAGGGGAAAGCAGAGACCAAAGCCCTGCCGGATCACTTTAATCCCTGCTTCCCCCCTCCACTTGTTTTTGTTCTCTCCTCAACTTACTTCCATGTATAAGACGGCCCTCAATTTTTAGTCTAAAGGTTTTAGACGAAAGTATAGTTTTCCCCCACTTTTCTAGCCCAAAATTAAGAAATCTAAGTGAGGCTTAGCAAGTGGAGGGGAAAGCAGAGACCAAAGCCCTGCAGGATCACTTTAATCCCTGCTTCCCCCCTCCACTTGTTTTTGTTCTCTCCTCAACTTACTTCCATGTATAAGACGGCCCTCAATTTTTAGTCTAAAGGTTTTAGACGAAAGTATAGTCTTATACATGGAAAAATACGGTATGTTCAGAAAATTTTATTTTGATATTTTTAATATTTTCATATTGTGGAATAACAAATCAGTGGATATCGATCGTGTGGATAAAGGGGGTCCTACTGTCATCATCGTCGTCTTAGAATTACAGAGCTGGGTAAGGGTGGTGTTAGCCTCTGGAGGCGGAGCTGGTCTGACTTAAGTCCCAGTAGGACATGTTTAGGTGTTGCATCTCATCGTATGGAAAGACCAGAGGAGAACACCTGGGGAGGATTGAGTCACCCAGGCTAGATCTGTGAACTTCGCCTCCAACACAAATTCAGTCTTCTCCCTTCTCTGCCACAGTTTTTCAGAGTGCTCAACAGCTATAAGATTGACTACAAGCTGCTCCTAACGGGGACGCCCCTCCAGAACAACCTTGAGGAGCTCTTCCATCTTCTCAATTTCCTAACACCAGAGAGGTTCAAGTGAGTTTATTTTATATCATTTACAATCTTTTCACCTCGTCTTTTTCATTAAGGAGGACCCAAGGCAGCTTGTATCATTAAAAGACAATATTTAAAACTAAGAACAGTAGAAGTGCAAAGATACTGGGAAAGGACTGAACAAATGCCACACTAAGAAGCAACCCTAAAGATACGTTCAAAGCAATCAAGCACAACCATCCATTAAAAAACAAACAAACCACTCAGGCCTTCAGTCAATGAGGGAAAGCCTGCCTGGAGGGAAAGGTCTTAGCTTGCTTGCAGGAGGACAGCCAAGATGGGGCCAGGCTGGCCTCCAGTGGGAAGGAGTTCCAGAGTCTGGGAGCAGCCACCGAGAAGGCCCTGTCCTGGTTCCCCATCAGAGGCACCTGGAAGGTGGTGGAACCGAAAGAACGGACATCTAGTGATGATCTTAACAGCCGGGCTGTTAAAGGAGCCCTCCAAGGTGTTAAACCTCTTCTAGGGATCGGGTTTTGAATCTTGGATGTCTCTTGTTTTAACCAAAACCTGGAGCGGATCTGCAGCGGGGCTGGTGCAGGGGGCGGACAAGCCTCTGCTGTAGCCCACCCGGGATGCTGAGCTTGTCTTAGCCACAGTGGCTCTCCTCAGGGCAGAGCCTTTCCCCATTCCAGCTCTGTTAACGTCCTGTTTGTAGTGGAGATGCTGGGCCTGGCGCTGTGACCTTCAGCCTGGGCTTGACCACTGGACTCAAGGCCCTTGGTCTAGAGGCCCTGGGAGGGGCCACTGTTGGTCCTCCAAAAAAAAGCAACACTTCCCCTCTCTTCATGGTTGTGCTTCTCCCTCTTTGCATCTCATGATGGCCCTATGAGGTAGTTCAGGCTGATTACCCGTATTTCAGTGGCTCAGCCATGGTTTCAGGCATGGCTCCTTCGAGCCCTATCCTGAGAGACTGAAGGCTAGGGGGCTTTCTTCTAGTCTTTGGTCCAGGGCTATTTACTCTGAACTAACCCCAAGTCCTGCAAGGATATTGCCTGGACTGAGATACTGCCAAATCTGTTCCGTGGGGTTGGTTTGCAAGCCTGTTCTATGGGGTTGGTTTGCAAGCTTGTTCCATGGCATTAATTTGCAAGCCTGTTCCATAGGGTTGGTTTGCAAGCTTGTTCCATGGGGTTGCTTTGCAGGTTTGTACCATGGGGTTGCTTTGCAAGCCTGTTCTATCGAGTTGGTTTGCAAGCTTGTTCCGTGGGGTTGGTTTGCAAGGTTGTTCGGTGGGGTTGGTTTGCAAGCCTTTTCCATGGTGTTGCTTTGCAACTTGGCTTCTCATGAACTGGTCCTTTCTGCTTTGTTTTTGACAGCAACCTGGAAGGCTTCCTGGAAGACATTGCTTTGCAACTTGGCTGCTTATGAACTGGTCCTTTCTGCTTTGTTTCTGACAGCAACCTGGAAGGCTTCCTGGAAGAGTTTGCTGACATCTCCAAAGAAGACCAGATCAAAAAGCTTCATGATCTCTTGGGACCTCACATGCTCCGGAGGCTAAAGGCTGACGTGTTCAAGAACATGCCCGCCAAGACGGAGCTGATTGTGCGTGTGGAGCTCAGCCAGATGCAGAAGTAAGTTTTCTCCTCTCATAGGAGGAGGTGGGAAAAATTGAATAGATGGATTTCCAAGTTTATTTCCTCTTCTTTGGCCAGACTCAAAACAGTTTATTTGTTTGTTTGTTTGTGTGTATTCATTCATTCATTCATTCATCATTGATACTCCATCTTTCTCCTAAAAATATCCCAGGGTGGCTCACATAATCAAAAACACATTATTTAGAACTAAAAAGAGTTCTTTCTCCTAAAACTGTCCCAGGGTGGCTCACATAATTAAAAACACATTATTTAGAACTAAAAAGAGTCAACTACTTCAATATTTTAAAAAATAATTAATAACATTAAAAATGTTAAGCAAAGTCATTACTAAAACAGATTTAGAAACAATGGAATACAAACCCTCCCAGACAGTGAGTTGCTAAGGGAAAGACAGCTTGAAGAGAAAGGTCTTTGCCTGCTTGCAGAAGGACAGTCAAGATGGGGCCAGGCTGGCCTCCAGTGGGAGGGAGTTCCACAGTCTCTGTGAGGAGCTACAGAGGAAGCCCTCTCCCATGTTCCCACCAAACAAACCTAGGAAGGTGGTGGGACCAAGAGAACAACCTCTCCTGGTGATCTTAACACTTGAGCAGGATAGTAAAGGAAGAGGTGGTCCTTGAAATAGCTTGGGCCCAAGCCATTGAGGGCTTTATAGGTTAGAACTAGCACCTTGAAATGTGTCTGGAAATGGATCGGCAGCCAGTGAAGCTGCTGTAACAGGCGGTGGGCGTATGCGATCCCCGTGGCTAGCCCCATTCAGCAATCTGCCTGCCACCTTTTTGACCTGATGAAGTTCCTAAACATGAGAGGTGGTCGTTGAAATAGCTTGGGCCCAAGCCATTGAGGGCTTTATAGGTTAGAACTAGCACCTTGAAATGTGTCTGGAAATGGATCGGCAGCCAGTGAAGCTGCTGTAACAGGCGGTGGGCGTATGCGATCCCCGTGGCTAGCCCCATTCAGCAATCTGCCTGCCACCTTTTTGACCTGATGAAGTTCCTAAACATTTTCCAAAGGCAGCCCCCTGTGGAGTGCATTATAGTAATCCACCTGGGAGGAAACTAAAGCCTATGTAGAAAGACAATTTGGGCTGGAAACGAGTTGTATTGGGTTGCTAAAATGTTAGCCAAAAAAAGGGAAGCAATCTTAGCATGCTCTAGAATCAACCTTCTTTGGCTTCAGATGGCATCCAATTTGGGGAAGAAGCAGAAAGACCCAAGTCTGGAAAAAAAATCTGGCTCAGTGTACAGAAAGCTGGCAAAGCAAGGTGTACACTCCAGATGCAGGGCAAAAATGAGGTGTCAAGGGCTCTGAATGCAGCCTCTCTCCACCCCTGTAGAACCATGGTGGGCAAAGGGCAGGCCTCCAGCTCCCATCGGCTCTTCCTCCAACGCTGTTAGACTTCTCTGCCTTTGCACCAGAAAGCTGATTTCCCTTCCTGATGTGTTTCCACAGGAAGTATTATAAATTAATCCTGACAAAGAACTTTGAAGCTCTGAATTCCAAAGGAGGTGGGAACCAAGTGTCCTTGCTCAATATCATGATGGATCTGAAGAAATGTTGCAACCATCCATACCTTTTCCCGGTGGCAGCTGTGGTAAGTCTGAGTTTGAAAAGGAGGGAGCGGCATAGATTTTATCCCGCCGCTGCCTCCAGGTGATGGAGGAGGTGGGCAGAAACAAACTTTACAGATTAAAACTTGAACACATTTAAGCATTGGAGAGATGTGATTCAGGCAGATTTTTGTCTTTTAAAAAAATCAAACTTCAAAGGAACCCCACACATAATTCCTAAAGGCACCTGTCAATTGCTCACCACTTTTTGCATTATTCTTAGGAAGCCCCAGTCCTGCCTAATGGCTCCTACGATGGGAGCTCACTTGTGAAATCCTCGGGGAAGCTGATGCTGCTTCAGAAGATGCTCAGGAAGCTGCGGGATGGAGGTCACCGAGTGCTCATCTTCTCTCAGGTGGGTTTGGACTGGAGATAGGATTTGAACCGCAAACCACCAGGAAGATAAAGCAACAGAGATAACAGTACCTGGAAGGGCAGGTTGAGTGGGTGGGTGGGATTCAATTTGTTTCTGTTATTGTCCAGAAGAACCTCTTTATTTAAGAGCAAGAAGTAAGGATGACCCGAGTTCAAATCTTGCTTTGTGAGCTATATCGCTAGGCAGCCTGTGACAAGTCACTATTCCCTAAGAGCCATACTTGTACATTAACTGAAGTCATGGTAGTGTTCCAGATACATGGTTTGGGTAGACTTTGGGGTCCAAGAAATCAGACTTATAAAGACAATGTTTAGCTCCTGAAGAACAATCACAAAACAAAGCAAGCAACCTGCAAGCTACAGAAGAGAAAAGCTTCTCGTGTGGCCCTATATAGTTTCAACAGTGAAAACATTTCATTTCTGAATGATGAGTTATCTGTAGCTTATACTGTACTCTTCTTAGTCTCCCCAGTGCCCCATTTATGTTATGGAGGGTTGGCTAGGGAGCAGCTGTAGGATGTATGAGAACTCTCTATTCTCAGTGAACACTCCTCCCAGTGTTTTGGCATGAGTTGCTGTTCCAGATATGCCTCATGACGGAGAGTGCAAAACCAGTGGCCTCCTCCAGAAGCAGGGGATCCCCAGTTCCAAGCCCCTGCAGGAGGAATAGCTGATAAAATTGCACTGAATGCAGGAGGAAGAGAGAGCTGACATGTCGAGACGGGTTGGATGAGAACAGTGACTCATACCGGGCGGCGACAAGCAACCTCTTTTTTTTCTGGGAAGACACTTTAGTCTCAGAGGAGCTTTTAGTTGTGCACTTGGAGGCTTCGCCGTCTGACATTGTGTTTCTTTTGGTTTCTTTTCCAGATGACCAAAATGCTGGATTTGTTAGAAGATTTCCTGGAATATGAGGGGTATAAATATGAGCGAATCGATGGCGGGATTACGGGAGGATTGAGACAGGAAGCCATTGACAGGTTTAATGGTATTTCCCTTTGGTTTTTCCATCCAGGGTGCACATTGCACTCTTACCCTTGGATCCTGAGTGTGTGCATAATGAGTTGGGTGGGAGAGGCACATTAAACAGGGTTGGCACATCATGCTTGGGGGGAATCAAAGGAAGAGCCACAGAGAGTCTAAAGATGAACATGAGGGTTGAATGGCTTCCGTAGAAGAGGAAGAGTTGACTCATTCCTAGAAAACCTGCTGTGCTGTTGAAATGTTCGGTGGTTAGCAGTATCTACCGAAGGGGACACCCAATTCACGTACAGTGGTGCCTTGCATTATGACGTTAATTTTGAGCACCCAGTGGCCATTTTGAAAACCTGACGATCAGCTGTTTTGATCGTCGAGAAGCGAAAATCGGTTCCCAAAACAGGGAACCGATCATCGCACAGCAAAATTCCCCCATTCAAAACATCGTTTTGCAATCGCTTTTGAGATCACAAAAACCTCATCGTAATGCGGATTCGTCATTAAACGGAGCGCCCGTCTTGCGAGGCACCACTGTATCAGGGTTTTAAAAAAAATTCCTGAGAATATTAAGGTTGACTTTTCCTGTCACTAGATTTTCCAAACACATTTGATGTTGGTTGATTGAGGACGCAAGGCAGCAAAATCGGTTCCCGAAACAGGGAACCGATCATCGCGCAGCAAAATTCCCCCATTCAAAACGTTGTTTTGCTATCGCTTTTGCGATCGCAAAAACCTCATCGTAATGCGGATTCGTCGTTAAACGGAGTGCCCGTCTTGCGAGGCACCACTGTATCAGGGTTTTTTTAAAAAATTCCTGATAATATTGACTTTTCCTGTCACTAGACTTTCCAAACACATCTGATGTTGGTTGATTGAGGACGCAAGGCAGGGAGGGGCCTGGTTGGCACCTGTCTGGAAGACCCCTGAGTTTCTCCAGTAAAGGAAATTTTGCCCAAACCCGGGAGAGCCTCTGCTGCCAATCAGAGCTTGGCAATACTAGGCCAACTCAGATAATGAAGTGCTCCCGGGCGCTCGAGCCATGGCACCTAGAGAAGAGGCCATCCACTGGGACTCTGAATGAGTCCCTGTTCTGGGCTTACATCAATCTGCCTCTGTGAAGGGTAGAATAAGTCATGCCCTCTGACTCAAGGGCTCCACTTAGCGTAAGGTGACTTCTCTGAAATTCTGATTAGGAAGTGAGGTTTTATTTGTTTGAGATTCGTTGACTTGATTTTTAAAAAAAATTCACCGGTCCTTCAAATTAGCCGACTGGCATTTTCCTTCAGGCACAGCTGATCTTGGATGGTCTCTTCCTTTAAGTGGAGTTGGTTTTGAGTGGCTTCAAACATGAGCTTACTTCATCCTCCTCAACCATTATGTGTTGTGTTTCAAATTAAAAGCTGGAGAGACTCCCAAGATTTGTGTTTTGTGTGGATAAAGTCAGGCTGGGCTTTTTTCTTTGTAGTTTTCTTTTTCCTGAACTTCTCTGGGAGTGGAAGGAAGCCAGCCCGGAGAGGTGAATCATGCAGAGACACTGCAGGCACCCTCGGTTGATGAGAGGCCATTCTATGTCCCTGTCGTGGGAAAATGGATGTTGCAAGCATGCCTAGTAGATAAGAGACAGCATGACTTATCTACTCCCAGAAGAGGCTGATTGATAAAAGAGAGGCCCAGAGAATGGGGACTCATTCAGAGTCATGGCATATACCTTCTGTGCATTTCATTATTTAATTGCTCTCATGGCACGTCAGCCATTCTCTCATGGCCCATATACAGTTCAAGAATTGCATCCTTGTGTTTTTTTTTTGTGAAGATCTGGGAGTAGAAGGAAGCCAGCCTGGAGGTGGGAATCATGCAGAGACACGACAGGTAGCCTCCGTTGATGCAGTTGCAACTGGATGTGTTAGAACAGCCAGAGGTTGGGTGCCAGGCATCCCCTAAAATAGCATTCAGACGGTCTGTTTTGCTTTAACCAGTCCCTTCTTTGTTTATCACTAACTGATCTCTCCTGTCCTCGGGTCTCTTCCCGGATGCTGTCGCCTCCATCCTGTCCTTACTAACCCAGACCTCATCTCTGTCTCCCCCTCCCCTTCTTGTCGTCCCCTCCTTTGTCGATTTTTGTCCTTCTCAGCACCTGGAGCTCAGCAGTTCTGTTTCCTGCTCTCCACCCGAGCCGGCGGTTTGGGCATAAACCTTGCAACGGCCGACACGGTCATCATTTACGATTCCGATTGGAATCCGCACAACGACATACAGGTTGATTCTTTCTCCTTTCCTCTCTTATCCTGCGGGGGGAAAGGCAGCTCAGAGTTACATCGCCCGTCATTTCCTCCAACTTCCCTTTGCTCCCTTTAAATGCCTGTTTTTTCATCAACAAAAAAGAATTTGCTAATTAAAAACAAACAAACAAACAAACAACCACGATCCCTTTAAATGCCTGTTTTTTCACCAACAAAAAGAATTTGTTAATTAAACAAACAAACAAACAAACAACCACATTGCATTTAAACTTTGCTTTCCACTCCGAGCAGCTTTGTAAAACAATTTTAAAAATAGCAGAGGTTTCCTCAAAAGCCACCCACCCTGAATGAACTGCTGATGTTTCTTGGAAATTTAGGACAGTTTCCAAGTCTGCTTCCTGCTTTCCTCTTGTATAAATCTCACACAGCAGGACCCCCTATCCACAGAAACCATATCCGCTGATTCACTTATCCACTGCCTGAAAATGCTAAATAACCCCCCTGAAAAATACCTACTGTATTTATTTACCAAAATTGGTCCCAAGAGGGAGACAGAGACTATCCAGTGTATAGTGTTCAATACGGCCACATTTTTCCAACATCTGCAGGTGGGGGGCTTGGAACGGATCTCCTGCGGATCCCATGGTCTCTGTATAAATCTTTCCCCTCACCTTTCTACGATGAAAGATTTAACTGGGGAAATTGCCACTTTCTCCTTTGGTCTTTTAAAAAACAACAACACCCGTTTAACAACAACAGAAAGCACTCTTTTCTCCCCTCTCCTGCTGCTGTTAATTGTTGTTTCAGTGTGTTTTTAAAATGTCGCTTGTCTTATTGGTGTTTTGGAACATCTGGTTTTCTTTTAAAAGGAAGGTTTCGCCGCTGTGTATGGGAGAAGAGCTGAATTCCACTTCTAAATGATAAGATGACGAAAGTCCCGTTTTCCCATGATTATTCTGCACCTTGTCTGCGTTAGCTCAGTTTTGACAGAATAGAAAATGTTGCAGGGTTTATAAACGTTGCTCTTTGACTGCTGTACAAACCAGGCATGTCTGGACCCGATTTTCTCTCCCCACATCTTCCCACTAATCATCACAAAAAGAGGGACAGAGCAAGGGGAGGGTGAAAGGAAAGGAAAAGAGGAGGGACCTTGAAGAGTTCTGAAGTTTACTTCAGAATTGGAGAAGCTGTTAATTTGGGGTGGTAAACAATTCTAGTCTACCAGAAAGACCCACAAATGGGTCCTAGATCTAATTCAGCCTGGACTCTTTCTGGAGGCCAAAATGTCGAGACTGAGGCTGTCCTCCTTTGGGCCCCTCCTGAGAAGACAGGGTTCTCTGAAAAAGACCATCATGCTGCGAAAAGTGGAACACAAATCCTGTTCTGAGAAAGGGTCAATGAAAGTAATGTTCAAAGCAGGAAGAGGCAACCATCCATTTGAAACCCCCACTCAGTCAGCCGGTCAAGGAGGGAAACGTTTGCCGGAAGAGAAAGGTCTTGGCCTGCTTTGCGGAAGGGCAGCCGAGATGGGGCCAGGCTGGCCTCCAGTGGGAGGGAGTTCCAGAGTCTCTGAGAGCAGCCACAGAGAAGGCCTTGTTCTATGTCCCCACCAAATGGACCTGTGAAGGTGGTAGGATCAAGAGGAAGGCTTCTCCTGATGATCTTAACACCCGAGGTGGCTCATAATAGGAGATCCGGTCCTTGAGATGGTTTGGACCCAAGCTGTATAGGACTCGCTGAAGTTTCTTGACACTTCCCATAGGCAGCCCCCTATAGAGCGCATTACAGCAATCCAGCCGGGATGTCCCCATGGCCGGAACATCTCCTTGCTTGTCCCTTTGCAGGCCTTCAGCAGAGCTCACCGGATCGGGCAGAATAAAAAAGTCATGATCTATCGGTTTGTGACGCGAGCGTCTGTGGAAGAGCGGATCACCCAGGTGGCCAAGCGGAAGATGATGCTGACCCACCTGGTGGTGCGTCCAGGCCTGGGCTCCAAATCTGGGTCCATGACAAAGCAGGAGTTGGATGATATCCTCAAATTTGGGACGGAGGAGCTCTTTAAGGATGACGTTGAAGGTAAGGTGGGATAGTTGTCATTCAGCATCCAAGGTGGTGACTGCGAAAGCTGGAAAAAGGAGGACTGAACACCTCAAAAAGACCATCATGCTGCGAAAAGTGGAACACAAATCCTGTTCTGAGAAAGGGTCAACGAAAGTAATGTTCAAAGCAGGAAGAGGCAACCATCCATTTGAAACCCCCACTCAGTCAGCCGGTCAAGGAGGGAAACGTTTGCCGGAAGAGAAAGGTCTTGGCCTGCTTTGCGGAAGGGCAGCCGAGATGGGGCCAGGCTGGCCTCCAGTGGGAGGGAGTTCCAGAGTCTCTGAGAGCAGCCACAGAGAAGGCCTTGTTCTATGTCCCCACCAAATGGACCGGTGAAGGTGGTAGGATCAAGAGGACGGCTTCTCCTGATGATCTTAACACCCGAGGTGGCTCATAATAGATCCGGTCCTTGAGATGGTTTGGACCCAAGCTGTATAGGACTCGCTGAAGTTTCTTGACACTTCCCATAGGCAGGCCCCTATAGAGCGCATTACAGCAATCCAGCCGGGATGTCCCCATGGCCGGAACATCTCCTTGCTTGTCCCTTTGCAGGCCTTCAGCAGAGCTCACCGGATCGGGCAGAATAAAAAAGTCATGATCTATCGGTTTGTGACGCGAGCGTCTGTGGAAGAGCGGATCACCCAGGTGGCCAAGCGGAAGATGATGCTGACCCACCTGGTGGTGCGTCCAGGCCTGGGCTCCAAATCTGGGTCCATGACAAAGCAGGAGTTGGATGATATCCTCAAATTTGGGACGGAGGAGCTCTTTAAGGATGACGTTGAAGGTAAGGTGGGATAGTTGTCATTCAGCATCCAAGGTGGTGACTGCGAAAGCTGGAAAAAGGAGGACTGAACACCTCAAGGCTAGTCAACTGCAAGCAATTTCCGTAGAAAGCGTTAGTGGTAGCTGGGATTGACATTTGGGAAAGAGATGATCCGTCATGAGCCGAGTGCACCAGTTTTCCTCTTCCTTCCTCTGCTTTGCTTCCTTTTGTACAGTGGTGTCTTGCTAGACAGTTACCCTGCATGACAATTTTTTCGCTAGACATTGACTTCTTGCGATCGCTATAGCGATTCTCAAAACAGTGATTCCTATGGGGGAATTTCGCTGGACAATGTTTAGTCCCTGTTTCGCAAACCGATTTTTGCTAGACAACGATTTTGACAGCTCCCTCTGCGCTCGCAAAACGGGTGTTTTCGGGACCTAAGCCTCGCAAGACAGCTATTTAAACAGCTGATCAGCGGTTCCCAAAGCGGCTTTCCTATGGCCGATCTTCGCTAGACAACGACGATTCTTCCCCATTGGAACGCATTAAACAGGTTTCAATGCATTCCAATGGGGAAATGCTTTTCACTAGACAATGATTTTTTTGCCAGGGATGGGTTCCCTGTTTTTAGACAGATTTCGTTGATCCCAGTCGCCTCATGGGAAGCGGGCAAGAATTTGACGTTGCTTCTGGGTACAAACCTGCACCGATTCATGTGGTTCCCTGACCGCTCACTGCTCTCCTTCCTTCCTTCCTTCCTTCCCCCTCTCCCCTTCCTTCCTTCCTTCCTTCCTTCCTTCCTTCCTTCCTTCCTTCACTCTTTTCCTTCTTTTCCTTCCTTCCTCCACTCTCTTTTCCTTCCTTCCTTCCTTCCTTCCTTCCTTCCTTCCTAGCAATGGTATCTCAGGCGCAAAGGATCAACATGCCCGAAGCCATGACCCCTTTCACGGAGGCGCCGGCCTGTAAAGGGGGGGCAGTCACTCCTGGTGTGAAGAAAAAACATGGCGGAACTCCACCAGGTACGTGAAGAGCCAGAAGCCTGGAGGTATCATTTTGTCCTCTGGTGCTCTTTGTTGGAGCGTCCGTTTTACTCTCTCTTCATTACTGGGGAGGTTCAGGTGGAACAAAATGCCTGCAGAATCTGTTGTGAGGAGAATTTTTAGACAGTGACAAAAAAAAGAGGAGCTGTTCACAAATGAATGCAAATCTGTGTTTGGGAAAGAGCATGCTTTGCTCAGAATTATTGTGGGGGGGCTCCTTCTGTTGCAGCATTTTGAATTTTTTTGTTCAATTCCCCTACCTGTGCAACAGAAATTCAGGGAATCACAGAACAGCAAAGTTCTCCAGAGTAGACCCTCTCTTTTCTCCTTAACTGGCACTTACAGTCTCAGTAACTCACTCTGAGGCGTTAGCAGTATACAGAATAAAAAAAGGTTCATTACTCACAACAGAACAGACGAAGCAGCAAACAGACACACGTGACTGCTGTCAGCAACAGTCTCTAAAGAGGGAAGAAAGCACTCTGCATAGAGGCAGGCTTCTCTTTGAAATCAGAGGCAGGAAAGGACGATTGGTTAGTGCTGGATAGATTGACAGTCTGGGGTGAAAGGTCCCTCCCACACAAACCTACTAAAGGCAGCATGCGAGGTTGCAAACCAAAAGCAACAACAACCACCCACCCTCCAGCACCTTTGGGAGCCTGGGCATGTTCATAGTAGGCCTAATGCACTAATGTTAAATGATTAGAGTTCTCTAATTGTTGATCTTAAACTCTTAAGGCGCTATTATCCACGCTGGGGTTAATAAGTAAATGGCGCAAGTTTTGGTGGTGAGTTAATGTGAGTTATGAATCCATGTAGACACCCTCTATTGCACACTGAGTCACACAGCTCAGCACTAAGAAAATGTCAACACTGACTTTGTAATTTGGAGCAGTTCACCACCGAATGTTACGCCGTTTGAGTTATGCTGGCGATAGGATTTTGGCCTGAGAAATCTCATTTGTTAGTTAATCGCATTAGATCTTCTTTCAATAATGTATATTAGAGAATTATTGTTTAAGAATTTCTGAAGCTGACCACTACAAGTTAGTTAATAAGACAAGAAGCCTAGAAATCCTTTAGGACCCCTGTCTCCATGAGATCAGTATCCGTGGTTTCACTAATCGCATCAGATCTTCATTCAATAATGTATATGAGAGAATTATTGTTTAAGAATTTCTGAAGCTGACCACTACAAGTTAGTTAATAAGACAAGAAGCCTAGAAATCCTGTAGGACCCCTGTCTCCACGAGATCAGTATCCGTGGTTTCACTTTTCCCCAGTCTCAAAATATTAAAAGGAAAAAAAAATCAGAAATATGTTTTTCCATGATGTATTATCAGAAATGGCCACTAGGGGGAACCAGATACAATGCTATGTACAGGGTTTGCTATTATCCACAATTTTCAGCACCCACTTAGTTTTGGAGCTAGATCCCCTGCAGATACGGGCATTCTACTCTAATGGTGTTTGGCCTTTGAACCGCTTAAATAGATGCTTCAATCTGTTGGTAGAAGTTTTTGATGAAGTGGAACAGTAAATTGATTTTCAACCAATTATGCTCAGGGGGTGAGTGCTTCCTTCTCTCACGTGACCACTGCAGGCTGGTTGAGTCTGCGCCTTGCAGTGGGCTTTCTGCGTTCCCTCGGTGTCACCTCTTTGCTTCCAGGAGACAACAAAGACGTTGAGGACAGCAGCGTGATCCATTATGACGACGCGGCCATATCGAAGCTGCTCGACCGCAACCAGGATGCCACCGACGACACGGAGCTGCAGAACATGAACGAATATCTCAGCTCTTTTAAAGTGGCCCAGTATGTTGTGAGAGAAGAGGACGGTGTGGTAAAGTGCCCCACATTGTAGCTTTCCTTCAGTTTTTTTTCTCAGTCCATTCTTTTTTTTCTTATTTTCTTGATAAGGATGTGTGCGATTTGGGGTCATTTTCTTAAAAACACACCGGATCCAGGTTTGGGGCAGCATGAAACGTTGCAAAAGTTGCCATCCGCTTTCTGCATTTCTATAAAACAAGCCATGATGGCTGAAATCCTGTTGCATAAACGGCGTAACTCTTAGACACGAATTGCTGATACACTGAGCAGCCTCCAGAGGCAGTGTCTGAGTCCCATGACTCAGTCGGTAATGGAAGGTGTTTACGGGGTTTTCTTAACTTAAGGCCACTTGCTGCTAAAAATTTACACCGTTTGTGTAACTCCGCAAGAAGATTTTGGCTGATGCCTCTGTTCACTGAGTTAATGCAAACAGTAGTACCATTGGGCCATCATCATATGTCTCCCTTGTGAGTCTGTCCCAGTTTATCTGCTCTAAGGGTCTCATGCTATCTATCCTGTGTGACAAAACTATAAAAGTGGATGGGATCCAAGGGTCATCTAGTCTGACCCCCCCAAAAAACAAGGAATCAGATAGGTGTCTTTAGCCATTTTACTTGTCGCGCAATGTCAGTGAGACTGTTTGTTTTTTAAAGGGAGACTGGTATATTTTGGGACTCAGGGTTTGGTGGCGGTGCCTAAATGTAGCATCCCGAGAATCTCCATTTGAAAAAGACGAATTGAAAATTAAAGAAAAGCATGCTTCTCGTTGTTAAGAATGCAGACAATCAAAGATGGGTTTGAAATGATGAGGGCACCGGTCTGCAAAGTGTCGGGAGCCAGTCCTTCTCAAACAATGTGTGATAAGTTATGGGTCAGTTAAAGGCTGTAAAGAGACCAGGGAGGGTGCCTGCTGTGTCCCTGCATGAGTTCATGAGACTCTCTTCCGAATCAGCCTCTGTGGAGGGGGGGAGAGAAACAGTTTAGGAGGTATCTCTGCACTGATTGGGGTTGGATTGCTGGTGCTCTGACACAAAAGACAATGGCACACACACACACACGCACCAGGAGTATGCCCATTGTTTCTCTGCATGACTCACATGAGTCGCTCATGCCTTTTTGGGGGAGAGTCTACCAGCTGCAGCTTGAGGACGACCCTCTATCCAGAACCCCTGCCATTTTCTTCTCCACCCCAACACCCCACCCCTGTTTGCACCTGCAGGAGGAGGTGGAGCGGGAAATCATCAAGCAAGAGGAGAACGTGGACCCGGATTACTGGGAGAAGCTGCTACGGCATCATTACGAGCAGCAGCAGGAGGACCTGGCCCGAAACTTGGGGAAGGGGAAGCGGGTTAGGAAGCAAGTGAACTATAATGACGCCTCCCAGGAGGATCAAGGTAAGGCGGGTGGCGGCATCTCTGGAGCAAGACAGAGCCTTTGGTCCAATGTCTGCACCACCCTGGGCCCCAGAGAAGAATGTCTCCTTAGCAGAAACTATGGGGCCAATCCAGAGACATTGCAGAAAACCCACCACTGGAATATAATACCCGTTCATGTTTTTTATCATTTTGACCGTGCCTGGGGGAAATAAATGTCCAAATAACAAAACAAAGCAAGCTGACTGATTAATTTTGGGGGAGGAGAGAAAAGCTGCTGTAGTGACCCTTGTGGCTGATTAGCGATCATTATTATTCAAAAACACCAGTCAGTATTTTTTTTAAAGTTTTGATTGGCTGTGCTCGGTATTTTTAAATCATAATACCAAGACTCAAGCGTGTTCTTCATTTGCACGTCTTTGTTTGCAAGTGTCATTTCTCTACCCTGAAAATCTGCCTGAATCACATATCTCCAACACTAATGTGGCTTCGGGTTCTAATGACAGGTGACCTGTAATCTATAGTTCAGTTTCCGTCTAGTCCCAACCAAATCGATGTGTTTGTATCTTTGTACTGTACACCAACAAAGTTTAGGTTTGTTGTTATAAAATACGCACAGGCACCTTTGCAAACTTCAAGGAGCTTTTCCAGGACTGCATTTCCCACTCCCCACTACTCCAGCTGGGCTTTGGAAAGAAATAGTGGAGTGGCCCTGGGACAAAATTTTAATTTTTTTTAATATTAGCATGAAATTCACATGCTGTGAAAAACACTCAGAAGCCATGGCTCTGACTGCATGTCTGGAGGCGCAGCCCATCCCTGCTGCTTAAGTCCTGAGAGGTAGACTGGACTTGTGGCACTTCAGATTGCAACTGTGTGAATTGCATTTTGAATGTTTCCCCGTAAGCAGAAATGTAGTCCATCAAGGTTTCCCCTGCAGACAGAAATGTAGCCCATCAGGCGTCCTGCTCCTTTTCTTCTTCTTCTTCTTCTTCTTCTTCTTCTTCTTCTTCTTCTTCTTCTTCTTCTTCTTCTTCTTCTTCTTCTTCTTCTTCTTCTTCTTCTTCTTCTTCTTCTTCCTCTTCCTCTTCCTCTTCTTCTACCTTTTCTACTTCCTTCTCTCCCTCCACCTCTTTTCTTTCCCTTCCCTAACTCCTTCCCTTTTCCATTCCTTGCCGAGTTCAGGAGCACTCAAAACTGCATGCCCGCCTTTGCACCCCAACGTGGTGGAGCCCGTTAAATATCTTGAGGAGGATTCTTGATGCCACCTGATGCCTCCGGCCGTTGTTGCCAGGCCTTCACCCTGTCCGGTCCCTCTTCCTTCTCCTTTACGAGACCCTCTTCTCCTCTTCCTCGCTAGAGTGGCGCGACGAGCTGTCGGATAACCAGTCCGAGTACTCCATCGGCTCCGAAGATGAAGACGAAGACTTTGAGGAGAGGCCGGAAGGTCAGAGTGAGTTGGGCCTTTGCTTCTTCTCTTCTCTCTGCCTGCCAACCCCAGAGGCTGGTCCGGATCCCCCCGGGACACGGTTTCCTCCAAGAACGTGGCAGCTCTCGGTGGAAAATGGACAGACACCGGCCAGCGGCCAGCTCTGTGGTCTCCAAAAGATTAGTTTTGGAGCTAAGGAGCGTCGGCGCAAAGCAACGGTGGGTTGGACTGGAGAGAACAGCTGATCCAGGTGCTTTGGAACCCACCTTTCTATCGAAGCTGCCAATTCTTCCACGAGGATTGTTCCCCTTTGCTGAGAACCGACCACGGATGGGATCTGAGGCCTTTCATTCCATTTCCGGCAACTCCTAGGATTCTCCAAGGATTCCGGGAATTGCTGCTCCCAGACCTAAATCTGCACACCTGTAGGCATCACACGCACCCCCCCTGAGCTTTCAAGGCCTTTGCATGTAGTAGCAGCTTTACTGGTTTTGCATCTTGTTGATTTGTTTGGAAAAAAAGGAAGCTGTCATGGTGCTTCTTGGGAGTCATAGTTCTTTGGGAGGCAACTTCCAAAGAGCTTAATGGACAACAAATCTACAACTCCCAGGAAGGACCACAATTTCTTTCTTTCTTTCTTTCTTTCTTTCTTTCTTTCTTTCTTTCTTTCTTTCTTTCTTTCTTTCTTTCTTTCTTTCTTTCTTTCTTTCTTTCTTTCTTTCTTTCTTTTTTTCTTTCTTTCTCTCTCTCTCTCTCTCCCCCTCCCTCCCTCCTTCCCTCCCTACTCCATGAATCAAGAACAGGAAACAAGACCACAGAGCAGGGAAATATCCCAAAAGCCTTTTTTGTGGGGTGGAGGTGGGGCTGCAGGTGTGCAGATTTGAGTTTATGGGTTGCAATTCCCAGATTTCTCCAAGAGTTCAGGGATCTGCAGTCCAAGAAGACAAGAGAGTGTTGCCCTAATTTTGATCCTCCTCTCTAGGGTGGATGTAGAGCAGTGGTCCCCAACCTTGGGCCTCCAGATGTTCTTGGACTTCAACTCCCAGAAATCCTGGCCAGCAGAGGTGGGGGTGAAGGCTTCTGGGAGTTGTAGTCCTAGAACATCCAGAGACCCAAGGTTGGTGACTACGGATGTAGAGAACTGGCTCTATCTAAACCTGCTTCCTTAACCCATGGGCCATTTTCCGGCCAGAGCTAACGGCCTCCATAAGCTTTTGATGGAATACTGCTATTGATTCAGGGTCTCTTTGATGCTCTCCAGGTGGCCGGAGGCAGTCACGAAGGCAGCTGAAGAGTGACAGGGACAAACCCCTCCCACCATTGTTGGCCAGAGTTGGCGGGAACATTGAGGTAAGCCTCCAAGCCTACTGCTCCTGCTGGGCCGGAAGGTCCAGCCCATTCTCTCCTGGCAACATGGCTTCTTAGTTGAGAAACCAACACCAATGGAGTTGACCTTCTTTGCGTGAAGATGGAAGTCTGTGAACCTGGGATTTATTGGGGCTTCCCAAGGTGGTTGGTGGTGGTGGGTGATTTTACCCAAGCGCTGAATCTGCTTTGGTTTTTACTCTGAACTTTACCAGAATGATCCAAGGAGATGAACTTTATCCCCAAATAATTTCAGCAGCATGGATAAGTCTTTTAAAGTTCCAACTAAAAACACAGAGAAGATTCTACACAGAGAGACAGACAAAACTGGAACCACCAGCCTCCCACCCACTCTGTCATCCCTGTCTTTACTTTCAGGTCTTGGGCTTTAATGCCCGGCAACGCAAAGCCTTCTTGAATGCCATCATGCGCTGGGGGATGCCCCCTCAGGATGCCTTCAACTCCCACTGGCTTGTCCGGGATCTCCGTGGGAAAAGCGAGAAGGAATTCAGGTACCTTATGCATCTCATCTCCCCCCCTTCTTAGTTTGGGATCCCAAGCACGCCTTTGAAATATCATTCTTAAGATGTTGGTTTTACTTTCTGCCCAAAATGACATGGGAATTAGTATACTTCATCTTTAATGAAATAATGTCTATCTTGCTGTCTTTACCAATTTATCTGAGATCGGATAGTCCAAATTCAAAATGGCCTGCAGGTTGAGTGTCGTTGAGTGTCGTTTTGAATGTGTTGAAAGCACATTAGTGTCGGTGAGATGTGATGCAGGCAGAACCTTTGGTCTGTGAAATCGGATTTGAGCACAGAAATCAGGGGATTCGTTCATTCCGAGTTCTTCCCCCGGCCGTTTTTGTTTTCTTCCTCAGAGCTTACGTGTCCCTCTTCATGAGGCACTTGTGTGAGCCCGGCGCGGATGGAGCCGAGACGTTTGCGGACGGCGTCCCCCGCGAGGGGCTGTCCCGCCAACATGTCTTAACACGGATCGGTGTCATGTCGCTAGTCAGGAAGAAGGTAAGTGAGATTATTCAGGATCTAGTATTTGGAACTCGTGGCCAGAGAGCCAAGACTTCAGTAGTGGCCTCAAATGTGGGCCCCTGAACCTCTTCCTGAGCCAGGATGAAATCCCAGCTGAAATCCCAGCCAGCCCAGGGGGTGGAATCGTGAGAATGTTGGGCTGAGATCCAGGAGACTTGGGTTCAAATCCCACCTCAGCTAGGAAAATCCCCAGGATAATACTTGGGACGGTTGTACTCTCCCAACTGGCCTACCTCACAGGATCGTTGCGAGGATATAGTAGGGGGAGGAGAGCCCTGTATGTAACCTCGGAGGGAAGACAGGATATCTTCAAATAAATATATCAAAGGAATAATTTGTTTGTCCATATACACATGGACTTTATTTTCCAATTTTGACTGATGGATATTTCAGGAGCCATTTTGGTTGAGTTCCACTTCAGTTCCTAATTTTAAATCCCATCTCTTTTTGCTCGGCCTCTGGCACCTTCCCTTCCGGCCTTCCTCTTTCTATGTTTGTTATGTTTCTTCCCCTTTTCTTCTCGAAGAAGTGATGAGTGCCGTTCTTCCTCCCTTTCCGTCGGCCCTCAGAGCCATCCTGTGAGGGAGTTCGGCCTGAAAGAGAGGCAGGACTCAGGCAAGGTCACCTAGCGAGATTCGCCTTGTGCGTGGGGAAAGGAACCCGGAAGTCCTGAGGCCCACGTCCGTTCTGTTCTGGCGGCAATTATACTTGGCTTGTTTCTCTCTGTCTTCTTCCACTCCCCCCGCCTTCTATCCTGGTTTCAGGTTCAAGAGTTCGAACCCGTCAATGGAAAGTACAGCACGCCAGATTTCGTCCTGGAAAGTTTGGGCAGCCGGAAGTGCAGCGAAGGACACTCTTCGGATCCAAACACGCCTGTCCCGGCCAGCCCGGCGCAAGGGCAGACAGGGCCTCTGTCACAACCAGGTAACCCCAGGTCTCCTCTGTGGCGAGGACTAACATTCTGGACATCAACACACACACAAACACACACTGAGTCGTCTGGCTGATGAATGACCTTCTCTGGTCTCCTCGTTCTCAGTCTCCTCCTTCTTACATCCCACCCACCAGAGAAACATGGCTTCCACCATGATAGAAACAAAGCTATGATAAAGGTTCTCCGGACAGAAAATCTGGAGGATACTGGGGAGAACGTCTCACATCCAGGACCCTGGAGGCCAGTGGTTCCAAACCTTGCGATCCCCAGATGTTCTTGGGCTAACACTCCCAGAAGCCTTCACTCCAAGCTGTGATGGCCAGGATTTCTGGGAGTTGTAGTCCAAGAACATCTGGGCACCAGACGTTGAGAAGCCCTGGTGAGGAAACCCCACAAAGCCTATTGAAAAACAATTAATACCAAGTGCTACTTCCAAACGAAAATACTTTTCTGTTTTGTTCGGAGAAGGGCTGAAAGAAAAAAGAAGAAGACCTTTTTCATACCCTCCATTTTTTTTAATGTTTTGTCTTTTGGTTGTGGGAGCGCCAGCCCTTGCTTGGCTCTGATCTTGGGGATGTAAAATGTACAGGTTGATGCCATGATCCTAATGATGGTCATGGTGGGTATCAAGCATGGATCTAGAATAAAACATCAGTCTCAGTGTTTCCTTTTCATAGCCAGGAGGTGACGTCAGTATTCTGCTCTGAATCAAACTGCCGAATTGTGTTTTAATGGCAGTTTCAGACAAAACGGACGCATCACCAGGAATCTTGGAGGAGAAAGACCAAGGTGAACAGCGGGCAAAGAAACTGCATGAGGGCCAGGTAAGGGAATCCCGAAGGGAGGGTTATTTTCCCCAGCATGAAAAGTCTATTGGCTGCCTTCTGTGGGGCTGAGTCCACATGGAGTTCAGCACACTCTATTTGAATGGTTGAAATCTAGATGTCGGGGTGTGGAAAATTCACCCGCTTTGCCATTTAAGGACTGTGAGCCTACCTCCTTCCAATCAGGAGCAGGAACAGTGAGTCATGCAGAGACACAGCAGGCAACCTTTTTTGACAGCTGGTTCTTACTCATGGAGAAGAGGAACCGGGTCTCCTCCACTGTGACGATCTCAGGCTGAAATCGGTCCTTAGAGGTGGCTTCTTGTTAGAAGCTGACAGAGACTCCACAAAGCTTCATGACTCGGTCATCAGACTTTTAAATGAAGCCCGTGTTGGCCTTCTGACGGCCAATCACAGGACAAACCAAGCAAATTTGCAAGACAGAGGGCCGAGAAAGCCCGTGCTGTGACAAGCCGGCATCTTTTAGGATTTCCTCATTTTTAACAACATGCTGCCTTTGTCGTTAAAGTCGAGCCTTCGGCCGAGGCAACGTATGGTGTGAGAGAGAATCTGGAGTCACTGAAAACTATGCTTTGCATTCAGGGGTCGATGAGCGAAGAAAAGATGGATAATGGCGACCAGGAGGAGATGGCGGAGAGCCAGGCCAAACCAGGCGAGGAGAGCGTGAAGGAGGGTGAGAGGACGGAGCTTGCTATGGAGCCACTAGTTCAAGGTGTGGGGCAGAGTCCAGGGAGGTGTCCGTGTGGGAAACCATGTGAGGAGCATGGGCAGGGATCACAACTCCCCCACCGTATTCAATATTTTTTCTTGCTTTGTCTCCTCTTTCTCTTGAACCTCCCCTGCTCAGCCGCTACAGAGAAGCCCTCCCAAGAGGAGGAGAAGCCAGCAGAAAATCCAGGACTCCATGCCAGTCCCTGCAAAGAGGGCAGTGAAGAAGCCAAGCCAGGTAAATGTCTTTCTCTTCCCACCACCCTAAGTTCACCTTTCCAGATGTGCAGAAAAGGTCGCTTTCTCTGGTTTGGGGAGTCAAGATGAGGTTCTGAAGGCCTGGTCTACTTCCAGGGTGGAGTAGGTAGCCCAGGCCACCTCTTGGGGACAAAATGGGTAGGATCAGGCCTCTGGTCTCCTGGAGACCCGGTCTAACTCTGGCTACTTCCCAATGGAAAAGGTGAGTCTTTTTTTGGAACATAATGGGTGGGGAACTCAGGGTGGGAACCTTCCCTTCCTTCCCTTGTCTTCTTGAGCCTTCAGTTTGAAAGCCCAAATTTGGCAGGTGAGGAGTACCTTGACAGTGACCAAGTACACATCCACAAAGCGTGCAAGTTTTTGAGTTTTCCTGGAGGTTTCATTGTGCTGGAGGAGAAACCACTCTGGAGGTGGGGGGGAGAGAGAAGGTGGAATCCATTGCATTTGAAGCCATGGAGACCTGCAAGGACACCCAGTTCCCAGACGCTGAGTAGGGACTTGATTCATTAGAGAATTGGGCAAGTATCGTAGGACCTTTCGGCAAACCTCACCAGGAATGCCGCAATACCAACATTTCTTTGCAACCAACAGCAACAACAACAACAACAGTAATAATCTTTGGACTGTAGAGCCGTCAGGGACCCTGTGGATCATTATGTCCAGCCTCTGTCAAGGAGCCCCAGTGTCGGATTTGAACTTCCATTTTCCGGCTCCATAGTCATTATTTTGCGACATCGGATTTGAACTTTCATCTTCCGGCTCCATAGTCATTATTTTGCGACAAAGCTGGAGACTAAAACTCGAGGAACAATTTTTTGAGCAAAAATGGAAATTCTACAAAGGTGGTATTTGCTTTGAGAGAGAATTCAGAAAGCGTTTCCGAAAATAAGGTTCTTTCAGATGCAACATAGTTCTTGTCTCTCAAGGGTGGAGATCTGTGGTTTTGCACTCTTATCTCCCAGAATTCCCCAGGCAACTATGATGGGATTTGTAGTCCAAAAATGCAAGCTCCTACTACAGAACAGGGGGATGACAGAGAGGTGCTGGATGTGGTGTCTCTTCAGCTAGGTTGTAAAGATGGGGGGGACAGCTGCGTCCCACCTCAATTGCTGTGGGGCTCCTGCCCCACCCACTCTCCTGAAGCCCTTGGTGTGTCTTCTTTCCAAGCAGATGACGTGAAGGCAGAGGAGAAGGATCAGCCGGAGGTCCAGCAAAATGGCGACAAAGAAGAAGAGGATGAGGAGGAGAAGAAAGAGGAGAGGAATGGGGCTCGGTTCATGTTCAACATTGCAGACGGGGGGTTCACAGGTATAAAAGGGTGGAAGCCTTCCTGGGAGGGAAGTTTGTCTCAGGCTTGTACAGCGGAGGGTCCTTCTCCTCAGCCATGAATCCTTTCTCAATAGTAGCTGGAATTACATCTCTTGGAAGACCTCTTCCCTGTCAGTGGGGCAGGGCACTGGATCTGAATACTGGGAACTCTCCGAGGTGCTGAAGGGAGGAGCTGTCAGAAGCAAAGAGTCCCCTTCAGGAAACCAGTTTCAGCACCTCGGAGAGTTCCTTGAGAATCAGGATTCCTCAGCCCACCCGATATCACAGCGGCTGTTGGGGATCCTAATGGGGGACACTTGGCGTGCTCGGTGATGTTGATGGCCAGGAGAGGAGGAGGGTTTGGGAAGGAGGAGGATAAGATCTGAAACCCATCTTGGAACATCCTAACCCTCATTCTCATCATGGCTATTACTATGATTTAAGGAATTTAACAATTCCTTTGTAGTTGCCAAGCGGCTGTCATTGCTGCTCCTTTTGTGTTCACAAAAATAGTGTGTGTTCTCAGTCGGTTGTGTTGGCATCGCCCGCAGGGAGGCAGTCTAGAGCAGTGGTCCTCAAGCTTTTTTGACACCGCAGACTAGTTTAGTGTGCATGCAGGGGGCGGGGTGTGTGTCTCTGTGTGTATGTATGCATGCAGGACTATGTGCATGCGCGGGGAGCAGATGGGGGTGTGCATGCCTGGGAAGGCTTCTGTGCATGTCTGCAAAGGGTGTGCATGCGTGGGGCATGTGTGCATCCATGCATGCATGTGCACTCCTATCCATGTGGGTGGGCGTGCATGTCTTTGTGCATGCAGGGAGAGGAAAGATCTATCTCCGTGGCCTAATCCTGCATAGGCCATGGACCGGTATCAGGCCACGGACCCGGGATTGGGAACCCTGCTCTAGAGCAGCCGTTCTCAATGGGGGCCCTGGCCCCCTCTGGGCAGCCCTGGCACATTTGATGGAGGCCACAGACTGGAGCCAGTTCTTCACATACCACCTTATAAGGTTTGTTGTGCGACTTACACAGCCCTGATTTGCCCTGCATTTCTTTTATATTGTGTTTATGATTGTGGCCGAAAATAGGCTGAGGATCACTGCTCTAGGAAGCGAGTTCTAATCCTTTTTGTTGTTTTTTCTATGCTTTCTAGCTGCTTCTGACTTATAGTGAGTTCTCCAGATTATGGAGTTTATTCAAGGAATGGTTTCCCTTTGCCACCCTCTTCAGGGAGTTTCCAGGGGTACAGATTTGAACCCGGGTCTCCTGAGTCCTAGTTTCACACCCATCCACTATGTCATACTGACTCTTAGTTTGGCTTTTGCATCTCATAAATACTTTAAAAAGACAAAGTCCAACAGAGCCAGCAAGTGGCATAAATGGTGAAAAACGCCTGTTAAAATCCTCGAAAAAGGACCTTTACATTTGTTCATTCATTTTATTTCTCTATCACTCCATGCATGTGATGCACTCTTCTGGACAATTGAATGACCTTTCAAAATGTAGCTTTTTAACGTCGCTAAAAATGTAGCTTTGTAACGGTTGGTGATGTGACTCCTAAAATGTATCTTCATTACACAGTCAAGGTTCCAAAAGTAAGGAGTTACTGGTAACTCAGCTAGCTGTAACCAGTGGCTTCTCAAGCTCTGTTTCGCCGACTCTTTAGGATGCCTACTTTTCTGTAGAGTTTCTGGCACAACACGTTGTATGGGTACAAAGTGTTATTATGATTGTTACTTGATGATCGATTCGCCAAAGGAGAAAGGCACTGAGAACTGGGAACTGCCACGTTCTGGGTCACTAAATGCCACCTTTCTCCGCTTGGCTCGGCAGAACTGCACACGCTCTGGCAGAATGAGGAGAGAGCCGCTGTCTCTTCCGGGAAGATTTACAGTATCTGGCACCGGAGGCATGATTACTGGCTCCTGGCGGGAATTGTCACGTATCCTTTACTCCGCGAACACGGGAGATGTCGGACGGCAGGGCGCTGAGCCACTCTGTGGTCATCCGAACTGTACCTGTCTACCCACTAGGACTGGGAGTCAAGCTTCTAGTCCTTATCGTGGAGGAGGAGACAGAAGCGAGCCACGTGTCCAACTCCAGGTTGATGCGTTGGCAAAGAAGCTCATCTCGCTCAGGTGATGATGATTATTTTTTTTGCAGGCAGAGGTGTGGAGGCTCCACTAACTGCCATTGGCTCAGCTGCTATGATGTCACAGAGGGGCTAACCAATGGTTATCCTTCTGCATTCACACCTTAGGAGAGCCTTAGCAAACAACAACCCCACAAAACTCCTTCTGGAATAATTTAATATTTTTCATTGGATGAGCTCCTGACCTCATAAGGTTCCCGCATTTCCCTTAACACCCACCCCCTGGCACTCAGGCATGGGTACGCCCGCTGGCAGGACATTCAGAACGACCCGCGGTACGTGATCCTTAATGAACCCTTCAAGTCGGAGATTCACAAAGGCAACTACTTGGAGATGAAGAATAAGTTCTTGGCTCGGCGCTTCAAGGTGAGGTTCTCCGGATACTTACTTGTGAGCGTTGGGAGGGGCTGCCAGCCTTGTGGTCCATAAAAGCACCCAAGTGGCTTGATTTCTCCCTGGATGCTGGTTCAGCAGGGATGTGAGCAGACCCCAACGTGGGGTCGGGCCAGGCAGGATGTGCCGTGGCTTTGGATGCCCTCCTGGTGCCATCCTCTCCTTCTTTGCCCTCGTCCGCAGTTGCTGGAGCAGGCCTTGGTCATTGAGGAGCAGCTGCGCCGAGCCGCCTACCTCAACATGACCCAGGACGCCAACCACCCAGCCATGGCCCTGAACGCCCGGCTGGCGGAAGTCGAATGCCTTGCGGAGAGCCACCAGCACCTTTCTAAGGAGTCTCTGGCAGGAAACAAGCCGGCCAACGCTGTCCTTCATAAAGGTGGGTCCTTCTTGAAATGGGGTTGGCAGCCTCTCCTCTTGCTTTCCCCAGACTTTCTTCCCTCCTGTATCTTGCCACAGGTTGGGCATTTGTTGGATAGCTCAGTGGTTGGGGTCTCTGGCTGTGGAGCCAGAGGTTAGGAGTTTGATTCCCCCACTTATGCCTGGACTCCGTGATTCATAGAGTCCCTTCCTGCTCGGCAGTTCTAAGATGACTAAGAGATGAGATGTCTAAGATTACTACTGGGCAGTGATTCAGTTTTTCTACCAAGCCGTGGCCAGTTCTTGAACTGCAACCAGCACCATCCAGAAATAAAACATCTATAAAAATAGAGGATGATGAATTTCGCCTGCTCCGCTCCAGAAAGGGCATCTTGGAGGCTAGAACTTTGATGAAATTCAGCTGAGGATTTCAGATGGATCCCTAGAAAATTCCTACATCCCATCTCGACCGCTCCCATAGCATCTCCCGGCTCTGTAAGAGATGATGCCGGATGGCACATGTCTCCATTAAATGCACTGATCTTGATCAAAATGTGTAATATGGACAGGTCTACATTTAGAAGTGGGAGGTCCCATAACTGGCAAAAGCCTTTGCTCGCCTCCTGTAGCCTCTAAATTCGCCGGTGTTGCATTGTGATTGGTCATCCAGAGGCATGCCTGGCCATCATTGGCAGGTGCTGCTGGGGACCAATGGCTGGAAAAGAAAATCCTATGGCTGGAGAACCAATGTACTGTCACTTTCCAATTGTGAGCTGACTGTCACATGTAACTTGTCGTAGGAAAGATTTCTGCCTGAACACACAGAAAGTTAATTTTGAGGATGAATAGGAGGGTAGTCACGCATTTCTGTTTTAGAATCTGGTATTATGCACAGAATCCAGTTTTCAGTGTTGTTTTTTTTAAAGCCAAGTTTTGAGTTCTTGTGACTGCAAATAATGGAAACAGTACACGGGGTAACCTTTGGTGAAGCATGAGGGAAAGACTTACTTATAGCTAGATGCCCTGATCTAAACATCATTGTTTAAGCGTTGCTGGATCCCAAGTCAGAAGGGCTCTGATGTGGTCCAGGAGGAAAATGAGGGAGAGAGCTTTTTGCTGAATAAATAATGGTGACTGTTAAAAAATGGTTAAAAGGGTTAAAAAGTCTGTTAAAATTGGTAATGCAGAGGAAGGAATCCTTGATGTGGTTCAGAGAAAACATACCGAATATGGGTCCAGGATTTGGACCCATCGTATTAAAGATTAGCTCAGGTCCAGGGTGCGTGACCAATGTGTTTGTCCTGCAGTCCTTAACCAGTTGGAGGAACTCTTAAGCGACATGAAGGCAGACGTGACCCGGCTGCCATCCATGCTCTCCCGCATCCCGCCTGTCGCCGCTCGCCTCCAGATGTCCGAGAGGAGCATCCTCAGCCGGCTGACCAACCGAGGGAGTGACCCCACCATCCAACAGGTTAGGGCAGCATTAAACACCATGCACAAAAAAAACACACCAATCACTCTTTTCCTTGTGGGAATCTTTGCTTCTAATCTTGGATCTATTTTGGTCTGTGGCTGTTGGTCGGGTGCAGTGGTTAGAGCGTTGGCCTCGGCCTTCAATGATCTGGGATTGAGTTTCCAAAAAGCCATGGCACTTTGGTGCCATACTGCATGCTCTCTTGCTCTCTCAAATCTTGGGAGCAGCCGCTAGAGGGTGGGTAGCCCTCTACCGCTTAGAATCCTTGAGCTCCCTGAAGGACCGTATCTCCCCCTACGAGCCTTCTCGGTGTTTATGATCATCCGAGAAGTTCCTCCTCTCGGTGCCATGGCCAGCCCAAGCACAGCTGATGGGGACACACGGGAGAGGGCCTTCTCGGTGGTGGCTCCCAGATTATGGGGAGGCTCTCCATATGGAACAATCAGGCTGCCCCCTCCCTCCTATCCTTCCACCGACAGCCCCACTTCTTCAGGCAAGCTTTTAACCATCATGACTGAGTTCCTGAAGGCCATTTCTTAGTTGAGATAGTTTTTAACATTTGACATGTTTTAAATCATTCAGTGCATTCTAACCAGTTTTGTAGTTTAATTGTTTTGAGGTATAATTTATTGTGGTTTTAATTCTATTATTTTTAATATTGTAAGCTGTCTTGGGTCCCCTTATTGGGAGAAAGGTGGCCAGTCCATCCGTCCGTCCGTCCGTCCGTCCGTCCGTCCGTCCGTCCGTCCGTCCATCCATCCATCCATCCATCCATCCATCCAGATTTCAAATAAATATTCTCCCCCTCCCTTCTCCCCTTTAGGCCTCCTTCGCTTCCTCCCAGATGTTCAGCAACAATTTTGGGGTGAACTTCCGGACTCCGGGACCTGGTGGGCTTGTGAACTACAGTCAGATGCCCCTGGGACCTTACGTGACTGGTGAGTTTGCTGTACCCAAGAACACATCCTGTCCATTTCGCTCTCTCTCTCTCTCTCTCTCTCAAAGTTTGCTGTACCCAAGAACAAATCCTGTCCATTTCTCTCTCTCTCTCTCTCTCTCTCATATGTCACTTAAGAGGACAAATTTTAAAGTGGGGGCCAGGAGCCAACAAACCAAAAGAGCATTAGGCAAGCTGGCTGTTTTCTCTCTTATTAATAGATATTTAGCCGTTTACGAGGGTATCCTCTGGCGTTCTCATTGCTACGAGAGGTAAGGTCACCCTTCTTACTCTGATAAACTGTGTGCTGTCGTATTCTTTTGGGGCAATCCATGTGTAGGGGGTGCCCCACAGGAAAGCTGTTCTACATGAGCATCAGCTTAGTATCTTGGAAGTTTGGTGCTACCATCCAGTGAAAGAAACCGCTTAATCAATGGTCTGCTAGACCTCAAATCTAAATTCACATACTTCAGGGCTGAGCCCAGTGGGAAACAGTGAGCAGGAGAAGGACTCCGATTTCACAGGGATGGCAAAGTGAATCTGCTGCGGGTTTTTCCTCTGAACTTTACGGGAGGAGGTGTTGTTAGGTGGCATCAAGTGACCTCCAGCCAGTGTAGACCCTGATAGGCGTATTGAAGTATGCAAGATGTTTGAGGAATGCTTTCTCATGGCCAGCCTTCCAGGGGCCCACCTGTGGTCGAATGGGGACTTGAACCCAGATCTCCTGAATCCTTGTCCAACACTTATCCACTGCCTCGCAGCAGCTTGCCTGCAGTTCTTTCAGGGATGAGATTCAGCACTCTGGACAGTTCCTTTAAAGGTAGACCAAGACAAGAGCCAATTCCCTTCCATTGAAGGCACCCTCTTCTGCCATCCTAGAACCCTAGAGCTAGAAGGGACCCCCCCTGGGATCAACAAACCCAGCCCACGTCAAATCCGAAAATCACGACCTAAGGCACCCTTGTCAGGTTGATTACTGTAGTTACATCAGTGAAGGAATCATTGCCATTAATTAGTCCAATTTTCGTATGGGCAAGGCGATGCTTTAGAAGCAAGAAGTGGCCTTCTCTTAGTTTTGCTTTTAGCCGGTCCATCTGTAATTCGTTTTTTTGGTCTTCATCTCCCGGAGCATTATTCTCTTCGACGATGCAGATTTTCCTGCACGTCAAAGCAAGAGAAGTGGCTCTTCCTGGGTGTGGCTTTCTTTAAAAAAACCCAACATCCTGTAGTTTGCAGTGTTTGAAAATGAGGTCCATCAGGGAGGCATAGTGACAGATGGATGAGAAGTAGAGGCTCAGATCTTGCAAACTCAAGGTTGTGGTTTCCTTTAGGAAGTCCGTCCAACCTCGTATTTGGTTTTCCTCTTTTCCTGCTGCCTTCCACTTTTCCCAGCATTATTGTCCTTTCCAGAGAATCTCACCTTTTCAGGATGGGCCAAAGCTAGGACAGCCTCAGTTTCAACCTATTTGCCTCCACTTGATCATCTTTCTGTCAACTATCTGCAAAGCTTTCCTCCAGCACTACGCAGTTTGAGTGCACCTTTGATGGACCAAAATTAGTTTGGTGGCTGAACAAACAGAAAGGTTACATTGGAAGAGTTGTCTCTTGTCGTTGTTACAGTAGTTTTGTCACACACAGTGAGGCCTTCCATTACTGTCAGGAAAAGAACTCATTGCAAGCAACCTGTTCTTGCAATTCGGAAGTTAAAAAGAAAGGGGAAAGGAATCAGTTACAAGTAACTAGATACGCCCCATCTCTGTCATGATGCTAGCCCACGATGGCTAGCCCTGTGTTCTCCATGCAGGATGATTTGCAAGTCTATGGGCTTAGCTCAGATCACTGCCCTTATTTATCCTGCCTTTTTCATTTTAGCCAGTTTGGTCACTAAAAAAATAAAACCTGGTGGAGTTAAAAAGCAGGACAAATGGGGAGTTTGTTGCATGTTTCTGTGAGAGTCAGGACCAGAAAAGAGTCAGGACACACTGGATGGACTTTTATGGGCTCTACTTCTGTGGGTGTTGGAGAGACACACAGAGGAGGCTCTCCAGGCCCGTAGGATGAAAGGCTCCTTTAACAGCAGAATTGAAAGGCACTATTTTCATATATTTTATGATTGGATGGCAGAGTCTATGTGTCACAGCATCTGGTTTGCGTGCTTAGTAATCATTCTGTTTCCAAATTTGTAGACAGGGCTGCTGGTTTCGGCATAACCCGAAGGAAACTTTATGACGGACAGATTGGATTGAGCTTGAGTTGTGGTGTCTGAGGAGGAACTGGGTTGTAGGTCCGTGCATGCTCCCATTAAAACTTGCCTGTCAACTTGAACGGTGCCCCAGGACTTTCCAAAGGGAGCTGACCTCTGCTCTTATATCAGTCTCCATGGGAAAAAAACTGTGTATTATTCACAGCTCTGTCTTTGTATTTTCCCCTCATCTCTTAGAAACATAGGGAACCTAGAAAACTACCTTCTAGCGAACCTCAGACCTTTGTCCCATCTAGTCTAGCATCACAGGCTCTGACTGGTAGTTATAGCTCTCCAGGGTTTCATGCAAGATTTTCTCCTTAGTCTTACCTGGAGATGCCGAGCATGGCTTGGTAGTGTCCCATTTGAGAACTAAAGTAGGCTTAATCTTCCTCTGAAATCTACTTTGGAGAGCTTCAGCTTCCAGTGACCCCTTGAGGGGAAATGTTCAAAGCTCCAGTCCTTGGTGTTTTCCCTTCCAGGTTGTGCTGAATGCCATAACTTCAGACCCTTCTCAAGATTCTAGACCGGGTCCCTTGAGGAATTTCCCCCATGGAACGTCTCAAAGCATCTTGAGAAATTAATGTATGAGCTTCTTCATTTTGGTAGTTTAAGGCACTGGTTCTTAACCTTGGGTTAATCAGGAGTTTTGGACTGCAACTCCCAGAAGCCTTCACCAACTGTGCTGGCTGGGGTTTCTGGGAGTTGCAGTTCAAAAACATCCGAATAACAAAGGTTAAGAACCACCGGTTTAAGGCAGTGGTCCCCAACCTTGGGCCTCCAGATGTTCTTGGACTTCAACTCCCAGAAGCCTTCACCACCACCACCTCTACTGGTCAGGATTTCTGGGAGTTGAAGTCCAAGAACATCTGGAGGCCCAAGGTTGGGGACCACTGGTTTAAGGCAACTGTGTTGGTCATCTCCTCTCTGGCCCTGTCCCCACCCTGCCGTGTTGAGTCTCCACCTTCTCTGTTGCCTTCCTTCTTGTTGTGTGTCATCCAGCACAGCAGTAGCAAGGCAGTTTCATTTTCTTGGTAGGCTCAACTAGGTATTTCAAACAACTCACCCCTAGAAGAGGGAGTTCCTTCAGGCCTGATTGTGTCGGACAGTCGCAACTGCAGATGCCTTGTGCTTCATCATTTGCAAACTAGTTTACAATCTTAAGCACATTTGCTGGGGTGATTCTTCAGACGCAGAATTCTTGCTTGTTTAACATTTCTTGGGTCCCTGTGTGATGTGTAATTTGGCCTTCACATGCAGATTGGAATAGGCCAGCTTCACTCCTGTAATGCATTCCCTGTGGGGCTGCCCCAGATGTCTGTCATGACGATTTGGGCAGTGAGAGCTTCTGCTCTGACGGGCTTGAGTCTCTAACATGGCCCATTCGGTACCGGCACCACAACTTTTTGTGATAGCCTTAAGCCAGAATGACTGTCGGCAACCTTAGGCTCTGGTGGATGAAGGCAGCGGATTGGGGCCGGAGACTTCACCCCTTGTTTCTTGGATGTTTCTTTTCCAGCTGCACCCAACGGGCCTCCCCCAAGCCGACCGGACATAAAGGTTCCTGACTCCCTGAAAGACAACTTGGCCTTAGATTGTAAAGGACAATGTCATGACATCATCTGCATTGAAGACTGAAGGGCAGTCCCGGTGGCCTTTGATATATTCATAGCTAGTAACGTTCTTCAGAATAAGAAGACTTGAACTTGCGGGACCATTTCATGGACTTCTTTGAGATGGTGGGATTTCATTTCTTGGTATTTTGGATTATTTTTCCTTTCCTTTTTGCACTTTCTTACTGAAGGCTTGAAGAGGTGGGTTAGCTGGACCCTTGAGAGGATCCTTGAGTCCCCCACCCCTACCCCGATCATCATCCTCCCTTTGAATGCACACAGATGCACCTGGGTGGCAGCCTAGGAGCACGAGGGTCAACCGGTTGTGTCATCCTTCTTGGAACATGTGTCCGTCGCAAGTCAAGATACCTGCTCACTCAACAAGGAAGAGCTAGTGATCCTATCAATGTTGGGTAAGCTTCTTGTGGCAATCAGGTGGACAGGCAGGAAGAAATGACAGAAATCAACTGGAAGTCATCAAGTCTAGACACCAGCCAAGGCAGGAAATTCACAGCTGAAACATGTTGGTTAGGCAACCCCCCAACCATTGTTTAGAAACCTCTAGTGAAGGACAACCGACTGCTTTCAGAAGCAAGGGAAGGTGGTGGGGGTTGTGTGTGTCTATGAACTGAGATTTGGGTCTCAACCCAATTGTATGCCTCAAACCCTCACCACCACCACCAACATCCAACTCACTTTGATTGTAAAAAAAAGCCAGTTGGGGCTCCGAAAGGTGTGAAGTCAAATCCAGGAGATGATGGCCCCCTCCAGCAAAGAGGAAACTGCTCAGCTCCTGCTGAATCCTGTGACTTGACTCAATGCTTTCACTGAAGTCAGCGGGATTTCAAAAACGCCACATAAAGCAGCCGTTACAAAGGACGGGTGGTTTTGTTAAGTGATAAGGTTTTTACTTGGTTTCAAGTATTAGCAACAGGTATATAGTGTATGGGAGCCCATCATGGCCAGGTTCACACATGCATGTTTCTTGCTTGATTCCTTGATGCTCAGCAATCGGCAGTAAATTGCAAAAACTGATCATGCCCCAGTGGGCTTTTGATGTGAGGCAGAGGTTCTGACTTGATGGCCCATTCTTACAGACAAGGTGGCCCTTGATATGGCTTCTTCCTTTCTGGGTGTGCATGTGTACATCATGCTTGAACTTCCAATGATCAAGTGTAGGGAAACCCACAAATCTGCTGGATGGCTCAGTGCTCTGCATCTCGAAGTACCTGTGTACAGATGTGGGTTAAAGAAGCACTTTCTGAAGTGGGGAAAAAAACACGCTTACTGGTGTGCACAAAAGTAGAAAGGAGTTCTACCCTCTTCCTTTGCTTTCTCGCAAGCTGATGGCAGATCTGTAGTTTTAATTCACCCAACAAGCGATGGCCAAAACAGACGAGATGGGGAGCTTTGCAATTAGTAGCAGAGCTGACTTAAATACCAAAGGATGTCTGACTATCCTTTGCCCTCTTTCACTGCTCCTCCTTCTTTGTTTTTGGCCTTATCCAAGAGGTCTCAGTTCAGATTGGCACTGACTTAAATAGCAAAGGATGTCTGATTATCCTCTGCCCTCTTTCACTGCTCCTTCTCCTTTGTTTTTGTCTTATCCAAGAGGTCTCAGTTCAGATTGGCTGAGCTTTGTCTCCTTCTGCATGTGGCTGCTTGGGTGATTCATTAAAAGTACTTCCAGAGCCTGCCCTCTTCCTTGCAGGACGGAGTAGCAAGAGTGAAAATCTCAGCATTCCATCCGGGGCTTCCCTTTCCTGGATCCCCGAAACCAATGTTTTCCCCATCAACTTTGTATGTGTTTTGGACCGGAGTAAAATTCATAAAGATTATTGAGTCTGACCCCCTGCTCAAGGCAGGAACCCAAATCAAAGCAGATCTGACAGAGGGTGGTCCCGTTTTCTCTTGAAGGCCTCCAGCGTTGGAGCACTCACCACCTCCTGAGGTCATGGGTTCCGTTGTCGTAACGCTCTAACACTTAAGAGGTTTTTCCTGGTGTTCAGCCAAAATCTGGCTTCTGGTAGCTTGAGCCTATTATTTTACCTGTCTGGGATGATCGAGAACAGATCCTGTCCCTCTTCTGTATGACAGGTTTTCAAGTGTTGTGAAAATTGCTAAGGCGTATGGTGATCCCGAGAGTCATCCTTGAACAATGCAAAGAAGCTTTTGACCCCAGAAATTGGGACACACCACCTTACTGCTTCCAAATCCTTGCTAAGGTAGAGATTTGGGGCCACCTTAGATGCCACAGAGAGCTCTTAGTAAGAAGCGTCATTGCTTCAGTCCAGTTGGAACCCTGTGAGTTTTTCTTGTCTTGTGATTGGGCACCAGGAGTTCAACACTATCCTAATTTGCATACGGATTGCTCAGTCACAATGCTTGTTTTCATCTTCTCATGATATGCTAACTGGAGTGCGCCTGATAATAGCCTAAATCTGACTTGCGCTCCTTGTGGCTCATCTAGCCCCAAAGGGGCAAGGCACTTCAGTTTTCCCGGCAGGCTCAACTACGTGTTCCAAACAACTCATCACTAGAAGAGGGAGTTCCTTCCGGGATGATGGTGCTTCACTGTCACAACCAGTTTCCTTCCTTGTAATTTGCTAATTAGCTTAAGGCCTTATGCACATTTGCCAGTGTCATTCTTCGGACACAAAATTCTGGCTTAACGAATGTTTCTTGGATCCTCGTGTGGCGTGCGCTGTGTAATTTGGCTTTCACTTGCAGATCTGAACAATAGTCCTGCTTGAGTACTGTAATGCGTTCTCTGTGGGGCTGCCCCGGATGTCTGGCCTTATCCGTTCTCATTTCGGTTAATCTGTAGGGGATTGAATACTGCCCAGGAGAATTCACTGGGGTCCTTCCCATGTTCTTAAGACATGCACTGCGACTCTTTCTTTTGATTCTTGGGCAGGAGCTATGGGAAAACATGGTCTGGGTGACTTCCCGAGGACACTTCATTGGACCAGAGAAGTTTTGTATAGCGATGGGTCTGATAAGCAAGGGTCAGTCCTCTCCCACTATGTCGGACCAGCCTGGAGTTCATCAGGTGCAGCAAACCATTGGATTCTGCCAGGTGACCCATCAGGCTTTTGCTGCTGGGCTGATTCCAGCCTTCAGATCTGCTTGGTTTCATGGCTTTGCTGGAGGTGGGAAAGTATTTGTAAACTCCAAAGTCAGTAGCTCTCACGCAGGATAAATTTGATTTCTGAACCTGCATTCTGGAGCTGGTTGGGGAGGGAAGGAAAAAAGTGTTTCAAGCTACTTTGCTGTAATTGCTCCTGGGTTTTTATTTCCGTGAGGCCAGCACGCCGCGCAAGCAAAGCAAGGCTCCCTTAACCTGACATTTCTAGGAGGCCTTCCTGCCAAATTCATAACCTCCCCAAACTGTGTCTCCCCCCACACACACCTTTGTATTCTGTGGATGTTGCAAAGACTTTTCCTTGTTTGTTTGTTTTTTTACATTTATGTTTTAATAAATTGTTTTTAAAAAGAATTTGAGAGAGAGAGAGAGGCCATCCGTTTCTCCCCCTGGTCTTGCCCAGCTTTCCTACACTAGGAAGTAAATAAGTGGCCTTTCTGAACCATATCGGAGGTCTTGTCCAATTGGCTGGAGCGCTCACAAAATTTCACGTATGTAGACATTTTGATGTGCCACTGCTTTCCCAGCTACCCCTAAAAATGAGACACTGGTTTTTCTCCCCCATTTTTCACCCATTGCTCTGCTCAGGAAGCTCTCAAGCTCCGCACAGTTCAATGCCCTTTTCTGGTGAATCCTGTGCAGGAAAGATGGCATCCTGTGCAGGAATGGTTAATTATCCCTTTGCAATGTCCAGTTCTCTCCAGGTGAATCCTGTGCAGGAAAGATGGCATCCTGCACAGGAATGGTTAATTATCCCTTTGAGATGTCCAGTTCTCTTCAGGTGAATCCTGCATAGGAAAAATGCCATCCTGCACAGGAAGTGTAGCCACACTGTGCAGCTTAGCATTTCTTCAAGAAAAAAAAAGAACGTGTGGCGCTCTCTTGCTGTAAGAAGAACAAAGTTCAAATGAAACCAAACCGGAGGATGGCCCAGCCCAGGAGGGGCAATGTCTCAGGACCACAATCAGCAGCGTTCCTTCATCTGAGGGACAAAGGACACCCCTTTGATGACCAAGATGGTTTGAGAGAGGGGTCAGGGAGGCCATACATGTGCATGTAGAAAATCCCTCACTCAACAGGAGTGGAGGCCTTAGATACTATCTGTCTATTGATCATGCTGCCATTCCACCCATCCCCAGAAAGATCAGAACCACACCCACCAGAAAGACCACTGTTAACGACCATTAACGACCCATGACAATGGGTGGAGAAGGACTGCAGAAGTGGGATTATCCCTCACCCCTTCTTCCTTTGTCCTTCTAAGGAGCCTTTTCAGACTTTGAGGGGGAAGTGAAATCAACCTAGAGGATCTATCTGGGACCTCCTACCAACTCTCCTCAGACTGAAGAAAAATGTTTCAAGAAGAAAGAAGTCCAGTGGCCATAACTCAACTTCCAGATAACATCACCTGGAGGACTGAGAATCTTCAGAGAGATGTAAATAAATTCTTGTTTTCCCCTTCATTTCATCATGCTATATATGGTATAGAGCATTTGCTATTATCCCTGGTTTTCAGTATCCGTGAGGTCCATGGAACCAAAACTCAGCAGATTTCAGGGGTCTTCCTGTACATCCAAACAAAGAGAGAGAGAGAGACACACACACAGGTCCATGAAACCAAAACTCAGCAGATTTCGGGGGTCCACTTGTACATCCAACAAAGAGAGAGAGAGAGAGAGAGAGACACAGAGAGAGAGACAGGATGCTCGCAACAGCTAAAATAAAGGCTTGGTTTATTTATTTATTTTCATTCCGCAAATATAGAAGCTGTCGTTATCAGTCCAGACCTCCGTTAAGAAGCGTGATGGATGGGGACCAGCCGCTTGGGTGCCAAGATTACGCAGTTAGCTTGGGAACTCACAGTCCTCCTATGCCCCTCGAGAGGTCGGTGGGGGTTCAGTGGGTTTGCTTTCCGACACGTATATAGAACACACATACATATAAAAAGGAGGGATGGGGGAGAAGCATTTCCCCCCCTTTTATTTACATACATGGAATCGAACGGAAAAGCACCAGGAGGTTAACAGTAGCAGAGTCGCAGATCCCAACCCTGTCCCACCCCCCACGCCCAGCTGCAACTGTATTTTTATATATACATCCTGGATTATATCTGATAGCCTACGTAACACAGCGGATGGGGGCAAGGGGGCCAGGAGGGGGCAAGGGGGTAGCCTTTCGGAGGGAGGGGGCTCAAACGCTCTCCAATCCGTGGCACTCTAGCTCACAACGGCCCCAGAGCGTTTGTCAAGAGAGCAGGAGCGGTGTGGTTTTTAATTTTTTCCCCCCTTCATTTCTGTGGGGGAAATTTGGGATCGTGGGAGTCCAGCCCCTCTGTCAAAGAGGCACCGTTGGGGGGATTTGAACTCCCAGCCTCTGGTTCCACAGCCAGGTGGGCTAAACTCATGAGGAGGTGAAGGATCCAGGCAAAAGGGGACGTGAACTTCCTCCCCGCCGTCAAAATCAGGCTGAATCTCAACAGTCTGGGTGGGCTAAACTCCTGAGGTGGCGAAGGATCCAGGCAAAAGGGGGCGTGAACCTCCTCCTCGCCGTCAAAATCAGGCTGAATCTCAACAGGAGGGTCACTGAGGCGAAGGCCTCAGGCAACAGATGTCGGGAGACGGCAAACGGGGTTCGGAAAAGGAAGCCATGGGCTTCTTGACCAGCCTGGGTGAGGTGGACGGGTGACCGTACATCGCTGGAAGATTGGTTCCTGAGTCTCTTGCCTCAGGCAGCTCCCTCGCTTGGACTTGACCCATGTCGCACTGGTGGACCGCAACCACTTTCAATGAATTGGACTCTGGATCCAGCCTCTTTTATTCCCCCCACAATCCTGTGGTGCTGGATTGGGCAGCTCCCAGACATCCATAGGGCTGGGTGTCACTTGCCACGCCATCCCCCTCAATCACTCAGTCCCCTTTTGGCCCTAAAGCGGAGACTCTGAGCCAAAATCCTACAAAGTATTTAACTGGGTGTAATCTAGTTTGCTGAAATCCTGGTGCCCGCTCGGCCGGCAGCAGCCACATCTCGGCTGGCTTCTTAATTTGCGAAAATTCTCCCTCTTGCAAACTTCAGTGTTGGTTACAACACAGGGCTAAATCTGGCCTTGCTTTGCCCCTCGATGGGGGCTCTGGAGGGGGTCAACTCTGCCTGTAGAACTGTATCCATCACTAGTAGTTCCACAGGGAGAGTTGCTTTTCCTCCTCCCGCAGCTCTGCAAAAACACAGTGTGAAATCAAGAAACAGGGGAGGTGTGCTATGGGGAGGATGGCTTACTCCTAAACGCGAAGGGGGTGAAGGAAAAAAGGAGTCTCGAACCGCCCATGGTCCCTGATTTGGCTGGCCTTTGGGATCAACCGTAGAGTCACCCAATAGAGAGAGAGAGTGTGTGGCCCAGGAATTAAAGGGCTGGGGGATCAGAGTTCAAATCCTCTGCTAAGTCTCTTTGGCGACATAAGGCCGATTCTTCTTCCTTAGCCTGACCTACTTCACAGGGTTGTTGGGGCAGGACGAAGCAGATTAAGGGAAGGTGATTAGAGATCGGAAGGAAAAAATGGGATTAAAAAGGCCCAGTGAAAGTTTCAATAAATAACTTCTGTGTACCACATGTACAATGGCTATTGAAACTAGGCAAAAGAGTGTGAATTTCAGGCAAAAGTCTTGTTTGATTTTACAGCTATGGTTAGGAAAATTTCTGATTTCAAGCTTCAGTTCGATCACAAGACCTCTCCGCCCCCCTCCAACCCCAGAATCTATTTTTACACTGATTTGAAGAGATCTTGTGGTGAAAATGATGTTTGCTAGTGTCCTGTTGCCAAGGGCATCCCCAGTATGCATGGAAACAGGTAAAGCCTGGAAGCAACCCATTAAAGTAACATAGTTACATGTAACTAGTTGCTATTTCAGACAACAAGGGTGTAACTAACTCCCATTTCAACAGCAATGTAATGACTAGTCAACAAAGTTACTTTGGGGGACATAACGGGCAACATTTTCTAGTAACTTTGCCTTCCAGAAACCTTAAGCTATCTGTGTAAATATGCATCCATCTCTCTTTCCTTCCTTCTACCCACTGGGAACATAAGCAGGATAGGGGAGGGTTATCACCTGAACCCTTTAAGAACTCCAATAGGCCAAATTGGGACAGGGAACCCCAATCATTTACAGAATTTTACATTCAAAGGGTTGATTGGTCTATGGCGTCTGCCTTTCCTCCAGATCTGCCCAAATCCCGTGAGGTGCTAGTCCCCTCTCTATTCAAGCGCTGGCTAGGCCTCATCTGGAGTCCTGTGTCCAGTTCTGGAAACGGCACTTAAAGAAGGATGGTGACAAACTGGAGCAAGTTCAGAGGAGGGCGACAAGGAGGATCAAGGGGCTGGAAACCGAGCCCTAGGAGGAAAGACTCAAAGATCTGGCCACGTTTAGCCTAGAGGAAAGGAGATTGAAGGAAGATACGATAACACTTTTCAAAGACTTGAAAGGTAGTCCTACATGGGAGGGGCAGAATCGGTTCTCCATCATCCCGGAGTGCAAGACACATCATAATGGACTCAAGCTACAGGAAGCCAGATCTCGGCTGAATATCAGGGAAAAAAAACTTCCTAACTGTTAGAGCAGTACGACAACAGAACCCATGACCTCACAAGGCGGTGAGCGCTCCAACGTTGGAGGCCTTCAAGAGAAAATGGGACAAATATCAGTCAGATCTGTTTTGGTTTGGATTCAGCCTTGAGCAGGGGGTTGGACTCAATGGCCTTCGGGGACCCTTCTAAATCCATGATTCTAAGACTGGCGAAACACTGCCTTGGGTGTCCCACTATGTGCCCCAAGGGTGCAGGTAAGTCCAACTGGGTGGCTGTCTCTGGGGCCAAACCAGAAGTGCAGGTGGAGGGCCGGGGAAGAGCGCCAATTGGAAGCCACGTGGAGAAGGACATGCCAAACTAGTTCTCATCCTCAAGAACAGAATAACAGTACAGTGGTGCCTCGCTTAACGGCGATAATCCGTTTCAGGAAAATCACCGTTAAGTGAACACAAAAACATCGTCATAAAGCGGATTCGTCATAATGTGGGGCAATCATAAAGCAAGGCACCACCGTAAAAGGAACGTTACGACAAACCTCAGTGAGGCTGGGTCCTAAATGCTTCGTGTTCACACGACGTAGAATAACAGTACAGTGGTGTCTCGCTTAACGGCGATAATCCGTTTCAGGAAAATCACCGTTAAGTGAACACAAAAACATCGTCGTAAAGCGGATTCGTAATAATGTGGGGCAATCGTAAAGCGAGGCACCACCGTAAAAGGAACGTTACGACAAACCTCAGTGAGGCTGGGTCCTAAATGCTTCGTGTTCACACGACGAGACAAGAAGACTGGACGAGAAAGGCGGAAAAGAAAGAACCCACTTTTACACTTAGCTCTTCGATCGGCACCCGAAGCAGCAGCCCCTGAGCTCCGGGACTGAGCATCTCACTTAACGGGGGTTGGAAAGGTAATCTAGTCCAACCCTCCACCAAAGGAAGAAGGGAATGTTGTTCAAGAAAAGCGGGATGTGGATGGGCTCCCATTTTTTGCCAGTGATGGCTTGGTCAGCTTCAACAACACATCTGTAAATTGAGTTATGAGAGAAAGTGGGAAAATCTGGATCAGTGGGGTGAAAAAGCTCCCTGCTTCAAAAGCACAACAGGGCAACCACTGCAGCAATAACAAGAGAGGTCTTCATGCATTCACAGACGCTGGCTTAAGAGCCGCAGTGAAATCCCAGACCTATTTTAATTTGATGCCTTGTCAGGATTCCCCCTTCCTTCTCTATTTTCCTCGCTATGGCTTGCGATGGGACAGACAGAAAGGGGTTCGAAACCTCTTTAACCTCCATGGATCTTTCTTAAAAGGGTTTGGATATAAACATGGGCCCAGTCTGAGAAAGATGTTATTTCCCATCTGAGTGGGGGGTGGGAATGGAACCCAGATTTGCTTTTTGGTCTCCTGGACAAACAAGTCCCGGTGGTTGCTGGCACTGCAAAAACCTGCTACACCTGTTTGATCAGTGGCAGAACAAGGGAGAGAAAATAATACACTAATCACATGCTGCTGTAGCCCAATCAGAGTCTCAGAAGTCTGACCAAAATAACCCCTGTATCACAACCCTCTCTAACTCAATGTTTGAGTGCATCTCCCATCATCCACCTCTTTGGTGCACTCACATGAAAGTCATACAGTAGGACCTTGTATCCGCGGTGGATTTGTTCCAAGGCCCTCCTGCAGATGCCGAAAACCGCAGATAACAGAGAACCCTCTCTCATACACACATGATCTTTGGCTCTCCCTAGTGGCTGGTTCTAGGAACTACATTGTAGAAAATGTATTTCTGGTTTTTTTCTTTTAATATTTTCAGATTGTGGATAGGTGAAACTGTGGATACCAATCTAACAGATATGTGGGTCCTACTGTTTAGACAAGGAAGCTGTTTTTATAACGTATTCGCGAAGGCCTTCACGGCCGGGATCTGATGGTTGTGGATTTTTCGGGCTCTTGGACCGTGTTTTGAAGGTTGTTCT